AACTTCCCTCGAAACATTAGAGTATTAAAGAATTTCAAAATGCTGAAAACATTAAAGTAGCCTAAAGCAGCTTGATTAATTTTATGAGCGATCAGCCGTTAAGTTCAGCGCACATGAAATTCGCGATACTAATCTAGCATTAAGCATACGCCCCGTGAACGTTAACGTGCGCCTCTAAGTTATAACCCTACCCCAAATAAGCCGTGGCCAAAGCCGCACAGCCTTTCCCAAAAGGTAAATACTCATTAGTGAAATTTCTTATCACAATTTGGTTCCTTTTATATTTTATATTTATACTGTTTTTGTTTTTGTCGATTTTAAGCTGGCGGCGTTGGCGAGTTGATCTTGATGCAATTAATAAACGGCGTTGGCCGGGCCATGCATTTAATGGTCATGGATATCCGGAAGCAGGCAATAAAAAGGGTTCGAAATCGGGATCGCAGCCAGATCGCGATTATGATTTCTCGCAGCTCAACCTCCCCCCGGGCGGACTTGAACCGAACTAAACCGAAACGAAATAAAACGAATTACTGGGACCACACAGCACTCCGGGGGCAATTGCCAATTGCATTCATCAACATGACAGCTACTCGTCCGAATCCCTCCTGCTCCTCTTTTTTTTCCTTGGGATTTTGCCCGTTTTTTGTGCCGTGTTTTTGTCCGGGCCTTTGGTAAATTGACAGCCGCCGATACTCAATTTGAATGCAAACCACAAAATTGGATAATTTCCCAGTGACAATCGAGAGGGTCCTCCCAGATCAGTGCTCCTTGCCTTGCCTTATCCCTAGCCCCTGATATATGCGCCGAGCGAAAAGTTTCCCAGGAGCACTTGCCGGTGACCCCACAGAGTGCTCCATTCCATTCCAGCCACAAACAAAAGACAATGGCTCTGCGGCTCTGTGGGGCGAATGCTCGTATGCAAAATAAATTTCACTTCCGAATCTGAATCGGAATGAGGAGGAGCGAGCAGTGGAGTCCTGCACCCAGCCGGTTGTTTCATGGCTTGTTTTACATATGTCCGCACCTAAGCAAAAGATGCAAGACCTCGTCGGAGGATGGTGCAGCTCACCCACCACTCAAATACACTAAGATAAAAGTTTAATAAAAAAATAAAACAACCATTACCCATTCCAATAAACAAATGTCTAAAAGGAATAAAATTTGGAATGCTTTTTCTGTTTTACCACTTTTAAAACAAAAGTCTTGAGTACCTTAAGACTAAAACGATTTAGCATAAATGTTAATAATAGTTTGACATGGGTTAAGGATTTGATTTACTAGAAATTTAAAATTCTTTTTAAAAAAATCTTAAAAACTTTATTTTTTTAACTGTGGTCCATCATCTTGTGGCCCTCTGGGAGCAACTCGACAATGGGCCAAATGGCTGGCTTGAAAAGGCAAAATGCAGGCGACTCGTAAATCCGCAACGATTGCTTCACCAGAAATCCAGAAACCATACTGAATTGATTGCATTTGGAGCAGGATAAAACGAGGGGGCGGCTGCATGCCTGCCGACGATCCCTGCTCAAAATGTTGCAATTAATTTTTTCACAATACTCTTTGTGCTATTTAGTTCTCGAATTTGCAGCATTATGGCAGCGACTCGGCTACCTCTCGCTTAATTGCCCCCGAAAAAAGATTGCAAAGAGCTCCAGAGCCCCAGAACCCCAAAGCCAAGGCCCAAAGACAAACAGTAGCTAAATAAAATTAAAAAGAGTAGAAAAAAAAAAATACGGAGGACTCCTGGACTTGGTCCGTTTTGGGTTCTCGATGCTGGGCTTCTTTTTGGGGCCTTTGATTTGCATATATTTTGGTTTTAATTAGTTAACAAGCTGCTTTCGTTTGTTGCGATTGCATGTTGAACCACGACGCGTATCGTAGATGCTGTTCCCCGCTTTTCTTCTGCTTCCAATATCTCCTGGCTTCGGGTTGCATGCAAAAGGAGCAGCGAATCAAACACGATTTTTAGCAGTTTTCAATTCCCGGAAATCTTGTACGATATGTAGCACCATACAACTGCGGATTGTGGTGTGCTGATTGTCCTTAGCTAAGTTAAGAGGAACCAAAAAATAAAACTAGTAAGGACATATGCATTGGAGATCCGACTTGTCGATGCTCTGTAGTTAATAGATAAATAATCACAATCATAATAATCATTCAAAATCAGTGTAGTCCATATTTAAGACTTCTAAACACTTAAAGCCACTTAAACGTTTTTTAATTATTTACAAGTACCATTATCCTAATTTTCTGCCCTTTATGCGGTTTACAATGTTAAATCCAAGAATTGAATCTAATCAAGGACTCAAACATTTTTTAAAAGATATATATATGTTAAAATTAATAAAATGTATTAACATTTTACCCAATATACCTTTTAAACTACTAAGTGTTTAAACTCCAGGCAGCAGACCTCGCGCGATTCGATTCCGATTTCGATTCCTCAGTATCGTGCAAATGTTTCATTATTTAACTGATTTCAGTTGGCCAGTTAAGCTGGCCAGCTGGCTAAAACAAAATAAATAAAGGACCAGCGTGGACTGCAGTTGGAATACCAACGAAAATTCCAAGATGTTGTCATCAATTAAGCCACAGGGCTGTTCGCACCTGAGAGGACTTTATTAGGATGCGTAAATTATGGTCTAGGCCCAAGCAGAAAACAGAAATGGCGCTGGCCAATAAAATGCCAGATAAATCAAGGCAAGGGCCAAAGCAAAGAGGTGGAAATCAGCGGAGCTGGAGTTTTGCAAATTCAGCAGAAATAAGCAGGCGAGACTTATTTGCATTCGCCCTGTTGTCAGCCTCCGCCTCCGACTACTCCGGCTTTGGGTCCTCCATCCTGGGCATCCTGCTACTGACAGTCTGCAGGAAAAATAAAACAAAAATAAAGCAGAATACGAGCCAAACATGAAAACTGTTGCCCACGAGTCTGGCGAGTACTGGGCCAGACGACAGTCTTTGTTCCATCTTGTTAAGACCTGAACTTTATGCCAACTCCAGAGATCCAGCTTCGGAGCAGCTCGTACCAGCGCCCTCCTTCAGTTCAGGCCCCCTTTCCGGGTCATTGTTTCTGTACGGGGGTCTGTACTGGGACTTTGACAATTCCAAGAACTTTTCAGGTGGCACAGCATGCTCAGGCCAGACACACTTTTGGTGGCCTCGTGCAGATCCCATTGTGGGGCTTTCAATTAAAATATATTTAAGAACAATTTGGTTAGAAAACTGGGGTAGGGGAAAGATTAAAAAAGCCAAAACCTAAAAAAAGGTCCAGAAAAAGACCATATTATTAATTGTAAAGAACTTTTGTTCTTTAATATGGGTTCTGTTTTAGTTTATTTATTATTCGATGAAACCTATTCTGTTGAAAAATAAATAAAGAAAAGATTGAAAGATAATTTTAAGCTCCTAGAAATCGACAGAGTTCCTGAAGGATCTTAGATATATTTCTGTTTAAATTTATGAGTAACACCCCGCCTAGTTATGTTGATTAAGATTTGTTTATTCTTTTTCATTGTAATTATTTTTTCCCCCCTTTTTTTAGATTCTTTGTTTTTTGCGTTAAGTGACGGCTTTTCATCAAAGGAGTCACGATGATGGCAACTGCGGCGCATACAAATTAATGGATCTGGCTCGATGAGGTCTGCAAAAATATATGTGTACATCAAAACAGGCACAACAAATTTAAATGTTGTTTGGGCATGTTTTATAATGTCATTATATAATCAGCACAAGTCGTACAAATCGCTGAAAATTAAACAGAAAGAACTAAGCAGAATCGGCCTTTGAGGCGGCGAAAAGAATATAAGTTTTATTTAAAAAAAAAAGACAGTGCGGATCATGATTTTAAAAAGATTATAATCAAGTTAAATACAGAGAGTTTTTAAAAGATAAATTAACTTGGAGAAAGGTAAGAATAATTATTTTTTTTAAATAATAATTAAATAACAAAGCACTGGTATTGAATTGGATTTAATACATTGAATTATAGTTTACCAAAAACTACATTTACCTTATTCTCACCTATGAATCACACTTTACGGCTCTATACGACATCTGAGACAAAAGTTATATGCGTAATGTTCGTAAATGTTTTCAGCTTGTTTATGTTTGTTTATTAGTTTTTTTTTCGTATATACTTTTTTATGAAAATTTACGAGCACGTCGTTAGCCGCATTTTTGTTAGTTTTTTTCTTTGAAGATCGCCTCGAGTTATGGCCAAATGTTTGGCTTGTGGCAAATGGCCGAAAAGAGAGATGCTTATCGCTGGCACTGTTAATACCCCGCATTTAAAAGTGTAATTAACGCAATTTGAAATATGAAGCGAGCGCGAAGAAACGAAAGACTTAGGCAGCAAACTTGCCACGCTCGGGGTCAGCAGGAAGATTCAAAAAGGAAGCAGGAAAGCAGGAAGCTCATCCAGACGCGGGACATGAGAATATTTGAACATGACTCAGTCACACGGCTCGTGCTTGACACGTATTCTGAAGGGACCAACCCCAATCCCCTCCACCTCCACCGTCCGCCTGCAGTTTTTCAACTATGCTCCTCCGGTAGCAATGCCTTGATTCTGCACACAGAATTCCTAATTAGCCAAGGGCTGCACTTGCTCCTGGTGTGTTTCCCCGATATTTATGCGTTCGCTGGGCCGTCCGCATCTATCAATTGTTAACCTGCTCCTGCTAAGTCTGCTGGGTGGCCAACTACCGGGCCTGCCTCTATAAATTACATTCAAACTCGAGTGTTTGTCACTGGATTTTCAATTATTTGTAATTTATGAGATTCACTCCAGGTTTTTGTAATGTTTTTATAATTTGTCTTTATTGGTTTTTGTCATTTCATGTTTTGTTTTCTCGCTGTTGTTTGTATGCCTTGCTCGTTTTCAGTTTTTCATTTGTTTTTGGTTATTGCATTTGTTTATAATTTGCATTTACGTTTCATATAAATTATATTAATTAACTAGGTGAATGCTTAATGAGTATACGAAAAAAGCGTGACAAGGCTTAAGGGAATTTTCTTTTAATTGGTTTTGGCTGCAGCTAGAAAAACTCAACAATTTTTTTTTTTGCATATTTTACAATCAATATTGGAATTCCTTTAACTATGGCTTTCGCTTGCTTAATAGATTTTACATTCGTATAGTTTTTTTTTTACTTTTTTCATATTATATAGTTTAAAACGTTTTTATAGTTTGTTCTCTTCGCTAGGCAAAAAAATCCATTTTAAAAATAAATATTCTGCGAAATGTAAAGTATATATTGTATACAAAAATTATAAAAATAATAATAGTATTTATATAATCACACCAATCAGCACTAAACATAAAACTAACTAAACATGGACACGATCAAAGAAGATATTTTTAGCGACGATGTAGATCAGAAGCAGGGCGTTATAATCCATCGGAGATAGAGTTGGTCGATAAAGCCAGTATGAAAAGCTAAAGCTGTGTGCTTGTGTATAGTTGTGTGTGAGTTGTGGGGCACAGATTGACAAACAAAACTTACAATGTATACAGAATTCTTTAAGCATCTTCCATTTGTGAATCTACAAATTCGAGACAATCGAGCACCCGAACCCTGCTTTGCAAAATCACACAAGCATACATACAGACAGACATACGTTCAAACAGATCATTAAGGCTTAGTTATTACTCGCTGTGTGTAGTTTTGTTTAGATTTAGCTTTCATTTGTTTTTTTTTCTTTTTGCTTAGAAACATTTTTGATCTATCTTCTACCCGAAATAGTTGGCTTACTGCTGGCATTCCTCATTGTTCATCACTCTGCAAATTATTATTAGTATATATGTATATATAGTTCTGTGTGAGAGATATAGTGCCTAAGTGTGTGTGTGTGTGTTTGTTGGTAGGGAGGTTGTTGTTTGTGTCTTCGTTATCTAACGACTTTGGCTTTTCGAATGTTGAATTAACCACTGCAGTGTTATATCAATGTTGTCCTTTTCCTTACACGAAATACTATAACAGCAAATTTCACGATCCTGTATGCTTGATAAATTCCTGTAAATTCAATAAATTTTTATTTAATTTATGAAAAATCAAACCTTTTGACTTTTAACTAAAAAAACTTACATGCGCTCGATGAGCCCGGTTTCATCGAGGGCGCCTGGAAGATCACGTTTGTTGCCCAAAACGAGCACTGGAATGCCAGCCAGTTGTGGCTTGTCCAACAGCGAGTGCAGCTCGTTTCTCGACGCCTCCAATTTGTCCAAATCCGCTGCATCCACCATATAGCTGGTAGTTTTGAATATATTTAAGTTTCCATTATTTGTACTTTTACTTCAAATTAAGTTTAAAATACTTACACAATCGCATTAACGCCGCGACAATATCGCTCCCACATGGAACGGAACCGGGGCTGACCGCCAATGTCCCACACCTTGATTGTTACATTGCCCCTGGTGATTTTTCGCATATTGAAACCAACTGTGGGTATCATGTCCTCAGCAAATTGGCCGGACTGTGGAAGAGATGTGGAATATTATAAGTGTTCCCATATAAGTGTTCTCATATAACTACAGGCCCAAAAGTATGCAATAAAATATTTGAAAGGTATAAATAAGGTAAAATTGGTTCTGATATTAATTCTCAAAGTGATTCAAAAAATTTCATCTGAAACAAAGAATTTCTAAACAAAATAAAGCTACATAAGTCTTGAGAAAACTAATTGAAAATGAAAGTCTATCGCTTGCCCACTAACAACAAATCATCCAGTACTGTATAAATCTAAATAAACATGGGATTACAAATTATTTGTTCAGACCGTATTATCAACAACGATAAGCTGGGAATATTTTCCGTTTTGGAGAACTTAAGCAAACAAATCTGAGCTACAGTCGAACTTCAACGTCAGAAAAGGTTCCTCAGAAAAGAGCATATCAGATTTATACGCCTTTAGAAAAACAATTCGTCTTAAAGTGTGCATTGTTAATGGAGGTACAGGATTCTGGAGTAATCAACATCTACTCCGCTTCAATTGTAGAAGTCAAACTGCAGTTCCAGTGCATGCGGGCACATTTGAATCAAATTCGCTGGTTGGCGGGCTCACATGACTCATGTAGTCAGGCGGTCACAAAGGCAACGGCTCCTCCTCCTTCTCCGCCTCATTGTCTACGGGGAAAACGACTAACAAGTTCGTTCAGCTTCGATTTCCACTCTTGAAAATTTAGATCGCGACTTTATCAGCTTGCAGAAATGTGCGACAAAAACAGGGGAGGCGGCGGAGTGGGGTTCACAGGGGGTCGTTTGGCTGATAATGGCGTCATTGTGCGGAACATGCGTATAAGTTTATTGATTACAGACGACCACCGCTGGAACAATAAACTTTGACACTAAAAGAAAACGTGTTAGCACAGTGTTAATTATTGATGGGGCATAGAATATGAACAAAGGCGCACCCGTGGACTAAACCGAAATACATCTTTGGCTATCCAATCCCTTTGTGTTTTGCGGGTTTCTGCCATTTATTAGTTACTAACATTTAGTAGTCATACCCGATCCCCCCGGCTTTCACTGCGCGACCACCCCCCTGTTACAGCACCTCGCCCCCTGCATACTAGCAAAAAATTTCGCACACACACACAACCAAACAAAATGAAAATACTCACTGCAATAACATTGACGAACGTCGTTTTCCCGGAGAACTGCAGTCCCACCAGCGTCAGTTCCATCTCCTCTTTCCAGAAGATGCTCTTGAACCAGTCGAGAATCCTGTTGATGAGGGCCAACATCCTGGGGCTGTGGGTCTGGGCTGTGTTTTTACAAAAAATAGGTTTTTCCAAAGAGCGTAAATGGCGTTGGCTGAAAAAACAACTGGTCAGGATAGTGTGACCAGAGGCGACGGCTACGCAGATACCAAACATTTCTTCTTCTTCTTCCGCAACATTCGCAGGCCACAAAAAATACTGAAAAGCTAATAATTTGAATATCCGTTACAAGCTTTGCAGAATTTTACTGAAAGATTATTAATTTTTATAGTTTTTAAGACGTAAAATTATATAAACTTAATAAATGTTCATGTAAAATATATAAAAGATTTATATTCTTTTACAGTTCACTGAATTCAAGAGCTTGATTATGTTTTAGTTTGAGAGGTGATTCCCCGGTTTTTGTTGCGTCCCCCACCCAAAAATAGTTACCCTCACGCAAACGTCGACCGAAGCTCGCAGCTGGCTCTCGAATTATTATTAAGTCGAAGGTGGTCGCGTTCGGGTGCGCTTTTGGTGGAGCTCCCGCTACTGTTTCCTCGCTCCCCTTTTTATCTGCCTGACACTATCACTTTACTAAACAAACAAAGAATATATCCTGACACCGAACGACACCGTCGCCAAGGAGAAGATGAGCAGCAAAGTGACCTTCGCCTTCGACAACAACCCATTGGGTGTCTATCAATCGGGTCAGGTAATCTCCGGTACTGCCGAGCTCATTACAGACCGTCCGAAAACCATTCGATGTAAGTAGCCCTCGCGAAGACGCAATATTCTAATGTCTTAGCCATGACGTCATGGCATGGCATACATAGTTCTCCATCCCCATTCAAAATCCCATCCGCGTTCCCATCCACTTTCGTTGCGTAGTCGCGCCGTCATTAATATTGTTGGTGTATTGTTGTCTGATGTCTTTATTGTTGTTGCTTTTGTTATTGTTACCGGCAGATATGTTTGATTTAATTGTGAGTTTATATATAAGCATTATATACTGCACACATGTGGCCGCTTGACTGGGCTCGGATATCTGATAGCGACAGAAAAACTAGTTTTGTTTTGAAATTGCGGCCGCTGTTTATATTATAACATATTTGACTCACTCTGGTGGCCGGCTCATTTGGCCAGAAGCCTATGAATTCATGGCCATATAATGGTTCTAACTCCCTTCTATATTTTTGAGGAAATTCCTAGTAATTAATTCAACTTCCATTAAAAGTAATTTTGTTGGGAAAATTTTTTTGTATTTTTAAATTAAAGTACATAAGACTTCAGAGCTTTGTATAAAAAATAAAATAGATTAATATGTCATCTTTTCATCGGTAGTAGCAGGTAGTTCCTTGTGTGATTTATTTAATTTGTACTTTACTTCTAATTCTGAAAACTTTCTTCAGAATTTCTTTAAAGAAAGAAATGATCAATAAATACTTTTATATAAACCTGGAACATAAATATTATATTCTATAGTCTAATAACCATTTACAAACTTAAACGTTTGTATGATTTCCAATAAACTTAAAAAAAACACAATAGGCCGAAGGTTAAATACAATTAAAGTAAATGCATAATTGAATTACATACCGTAAATTAACCCAATTGCAGCTATCTTCATAACCTTAAATGGCTACGCTGAGACGCGCTGGCAGGAGACTGAGGAGCGGGTGGGCGAGGACGGAAAAACAACCAAGTCTCTGGTGACCCACACCACCACCGAGGTCTACTACAGCTTGGACCAATATGTCTATGGCCAGAGTGCCGGCTCCCAATTGGAGCTGCCGAAGGGAAAGTACGTCTTCCCGTTCCGGACCACCATTCCGCCCAATGCTCCGACTTCGTTCAACGGCACCCATGGACAGGTCAAGCACGAGGTCACCCTGACTATCGACCGTGCTGTGCGCTACAATAACACCTTCAAGCAATGCTTCACTGTGATCCTGCCCCACGACTTGAATAAACGGCAAGAGTACGCAGTAAGTAAAATATCATTCTTTAGTTTTTTACTTTAGCCAAATTATGAAGAATTTTCTATATTTTGAACCCATTGTCCGATTACCCCAAGAGAGGAAGACATACATTAATGCTCACATTATATATTTGTTAAAAAGTTCTGATTAAAGGGGGTTCTTTACAACTTGGCGTTGACATGAATAGCCAGAACACCGTCGTCCTCAGAGCTGCCGATGGAGATGTTGGCCCTTCCATCGGATCCGACAGTGACGGTCTTGCCAGTACAGGAAGATCCGCTCTTGGAGCCGGAGATGACATCGCAGTAGGTTCCAGCGGGAAGACCGGTCTGAACAGAGCTGTTGAGGTCGTAGTTGTCGTTGTTGAATGCAACAAAGCCCTTGCTGCCGCGGCTGAAGGCAATCTGGTTGCTTCCATTATCCCACCAGTTTTGGATCGCATCGGATCCGACGGCGTTCCGGAAGTCAACCATGTTGTAGATCTGCCTCCAGCGGTGCTCGCACACCCATCCGCCGCTGCAGGAGTTATCGCTGTTGAAGGTGGGAGAGGCAATGTTCTGGCCATCGGTAGTAGGTGGGCCCTGGTCGGTGTCGGTGAAGGAGAACGAGGACATGACACGTGGAGTTCCGAAGGGATGTGCCAACATGAAGGCAGAGGCCATCTTGTACTGCTTGGGCACCTTGTAGGTGAGAACATCGGCACCACCGGCTCCATGTCCACGCTGGTTGTCATGGTTGTCGACGAAGACCAGGGAGCGATCGGAGGCAGCGAAGCCCCAGCCGACACCCCAGTTGACCAGATACTGGAGCTGGTCCTTGCCACGGAAGGCCTTTCCAATGGAGTCGGAGTGACGGAACTCGGTGATGGCTCCCAGGCCGGTGTACTCGGACTTGCTGATGGCCTCGCCACCCATGTCAATCACCTCCTGGGCAATGTAGGCCCTGGCACCGGACTCGAAGCCGTGGTCGGTGTTCAGATTCTTCAGGCTTCCGTAAATCACTCCCAGATCAGCGGGCCACATGTGCTTGGCAGCGTCCACACGGAACCCGGCCACACCCAGATCGATCAGGTGGTTCAGGAACTCGACGATCTTCTCCTGAACGTAGGAGTTGCCCTGGTTGAGGTCACGCAGTCCAACCAGCTCGCAGTTGCGCACCTGGTTGGCATCGTTGTAGTTGGAGATGGCGCAGGTGGGGTTGAAGTCCAGCGAGGAGTAGGGCACTCCTGGGTAGCTCTTGCTGCTGGGACTGGCGGTGCTGCCACCAGTGCCGTAAGTGCCTCCATCAGCGGCCATGTGGTTGAAGACGACGTCCACGTAGATGCGCACTCCAACGTTGTTGCAACGCCTGACCATGCTGGCGAATTGCTCCTCATTGCCGGAACGGGTAACCAGTTTGTAGGAAATGGGTTGGTAACGCTCCCACCACGGACGGCTGTCCTTCACAGCGTTTTCGTTTACGGGAGATACCTGCACACCAGCGTACCCATAAGGTCCTAGGAAGTTCTCGCACTCAGCGGCAATGTCGTCCCACTTCCATTCGAAAAGGTGGACCATGCCACTGCGTCCTGAGGCGTAGTTGGTGTTGAACTGGGCGTTGGCCACCGCCAGGACGGCGAGGCATATAATACTCTTGGCCAGGAACATTTTAATTCAAAGCTGATTTTGGCTCTGAAGCAGTGAATGCACTGCCCCCGCTTATATAGGGGGTCTACTGATTCGTGAGGAGTGATTTCAGAAATCTCGGGATCTAATCAACTCCGGCGGAATTTCTTTGCACTTGGTGGGGTACGATAATCAAATATAGCTTATCAAACTTCGTGTAGACCAATAGGCTGGTATGAGCTGATGTCTATGACGATTAGTCGGGGGAATTAATTGATGGTATTCCATAGACACTGAATTCCTTTAATATCGGACGGAATTTTATTTTAATTTATGTGCCACTTCAGTAGCACGCGAACTGCAGCGTGATCGGTTCAGACTATGACCTATGTATCAGTTTTTTGTGAATAAACGAATAATAATCATGACTAGTTTAAGGCAGATATTTAGTGTTTATTTTTTTGCTATAAATTACCATTAAAGATCCCTAAATAATAAACTTGCAATGTTTTGAACAGGAACCTTTGAAACGCATCGAGGAAAAAAGCTTTTGGTGGGGTTCTATCTTCGGAGGCAATAAACCTATGGTTATGGACGTGAGCACGTCCTACTCTGCCTACGTGCCTGGCCAGAAGATTAACTTTCACCTTGTCCTGGACAACCAGTCTGATGTTCAGTGTCAGGACGTCAAGGTGCGCCTTCTCAAGAACGTCTCCTATCGGGCTAACTCTTCAGGGACCAAGGAACAGCTCAAGGTGACAGAATCCCGGGTGGCGGACAAACACTGCGGAGAAGTGCTGAAGCACAACAAAGCCCGCTTCGACGAATTCCTTGTGGTTCCGCCCACCACCCCGACTAGCCAAGGAGAAAGGGATCCCATTCGGGTCAGCTACACACTCCGTTTCATTGCAAAGACATTCCGTCTGCATGGAGGTGGGGACTTGATTGTCGACTTTCCACTGACTATTGGAACCGTACCGATATCTGGTAGCGCTGCTGACAAGGGACCAGGACACACGGACAAATCCCAAGCCAATGGCAATACCTACGCGGGTAATGACTTTAAGTGGATAATTGTGAATTAATTTAATTACATTTTATATTTTCTTAAGGCTCACCCAACTTTCAAGAAGATGTTAGTGAGGAGCAATTCGAATCGAATACTTTCAAGGCACGTTATCCTGTTTATCCTTTCGATGGCAAACCGGGCGTCGCTTCCAATGGAACTAATGGAGCGGCTAACACTCCCAGTCTTTATCCCAGAGCGGAAGAATCTCATCCTACCGCTCCAGCCCCCTTCACGCACAATCCCGTGTCGCCGATTGGTCCGAAAACAGCGCCGTATCCGATTCATCCACCTGGTACCCATAAATCTCCACCGTACCCGACCAATCCACCTGCTGGACCAGGTCCTGCCACAGGCGGAAACTTCGAGGTGCTAGGCTTCAGTATTCCACCGGGCTATCAACCCACCCCCAGTGCCCCAGCTGGTGCTCCCACAGCCGGAATCGGTTGGAAATAATGCCCAATACTGCCCACTAAATATAAGATATATAAAAAAAACCTATGAGCAGCATTTCAGTCCTGTGTTTGTAACACAGGGACTGCATATTCATTAAAGATAGGATTCTACAAATAATTTTCTAATACTTATATTTATAATAGTTATCCACCAATTCAAATATAATATATCGGATTCATATATTCTTTGGGTAACTAACTTAGACCTTTACTATTTCATGGCGAAAAAACACAGGTTTCGTTGCAGGATTTGATCTTACCCTTGTGCATAAGAGCCCGGAAGGCGGTATCATTTCTAGGGAATCTCCTGATTTCTGAGGTAGGTCCAGAAAAAGTGAAATTTTTAAATGAAAAATTATGCAAATTGTATGGAAGCTTAATATGGCCGCCAAGGAAGCGGTCGTTATGTCTACGATTCATAAACGGAATACCTTAATCGATTTGTAGATCGCCAGTAGCCAAAAATCCTCCGATTCGCAAGCGGAATACCTTGAACGATTTGTATTTTTGTTATAAATCTCCATCAAAATCTACAAAAAATTTGTTGTTAATTTTTTGCCACATTTTGTGATGAAACCCCTTAAAATATGTTGAGAAATGCATTGAAGCTAAAAAAGGCCCCCTGCGAAGACCATATCTTAAGTAATAATCCCGGAAGTAGTAGCTTTTGCCATATAACTGGACATGGAAACACGATGTTACTTTCGAACTCTGGAAAAGTATAGCTTCAAACTTCTCTAGCTGCTTTTTGAAAGTGAATGGCTTATTTATTTACTAGTCATTATTTCTGGAATTCTTGACTGGCATAATTTACCCAAAAGAATAATACATTCCTTTTTATACTCGCATTATTTATTTCAATTAAAAAACTTTAAAAGTTCAGGATAATAAAAGTTATTCACAACTTAGAGTTGACATGGATGGCAAGAACACCATCGTCCTCTGAGCTGCCGATGGAGATGTTGGCCCTTCCATCAGATCCGACAGTAACGGTCTTGCCAGTACAGGAAGATCCGCTCTTGGAGCCGGAGATGACATCGCAGTAGGTTCCAGCGGGAAGACCGGTCTGAACAGAGCTGTTGAGGTCGTAGTTGTCGTTGTTGAATGCAACAAAGCCCTTGCTGCCGCGGCTGAAGGCAATCTGGTTGCTTCCATTATCCCACCAGTTTTGGATCGCATCGGATCCGACGGCGTTCCGGAAGTCAACCATGTTGTAGATCTGCCTCCAGCGGTGCTCGCACACCCATCCGCCGCTGCAGGAGTTATCGCTGTTGAAGGTGGGAGAGGCAATGTTCTGGCCATCGGTAGTGGGAGGGCCCTGGTCGGTGTCGGTGAAGGAGAACGATGACATGACACGTGGAGTTCCGAAGGGATGTGCCAACATGAAGGCAGAAGCCATCTTGTACTGTTTGGGCACCTTGTATGTGAGAACATCGGCACCACCGGCTCCATGTCCACGCTGGTTGTCGTGGTTGTCGACGAAGACCAGGGAGCGATCGGAGGCAGCGAAGCCCCAACCGACACCCCAGTTGACCAGATACTGGAGCTGGTCCTTGCCACGGAAGGCCTTTCCAATGGAGTCAGAGTGACGGAACTCGGTAATGGCTCCCAGGCCAGTGTACTCGGACTTGCTGATGGCCTCGCCACCCATGTCAATCACCTCCTGGGCAATGTAGGCCCTGGCACCGGACTCGAAGCCGTGGTCGGTGTTCAGATTCTTCAGGCTTCCGTAAATCACTCCCAGATCAGCGGGCCACATGTGCTTGGCAGCGTCCACACGGAATCCGGCCACACCCAGATCGATCAGGTGGTTCAGGAACTCAACGATCTTCTCCTGAACGTAGGAGTTACCCTGGTTGAGGTCACGCAGTCCAACCAGCTCGCAGTTGCGCACCTGGTTGGCATCGTTGTAGTTGGAGATGGCGCAGGTGGGGTTGAAGTCCAGCGAGGAGTAGGGCACTCCTGGATAGCTCTTGCTGCTGGGACTGGCGGTGCTGCCAGCAGTGCCGTAAGTGCCTCCGTCAGCGGCCATGTGGTTGAAGACGACGTCCACGTAGATGCGCACTCCAACGTTGTTGCAACGCCTGACCATGCTGGCGAATTGCTCCTCATTGCCGGAACGGGTAACCAGTTTGTAGGAAATGGGTTGGTAACGCTCCCACCACGGACGGCTGTCCTTCACAGCGTTTTCGTTTACGGGAGATACCTGCACACCAGCGTACCCATAAGGTCCTAGGAAGTTCTCGCACTCAGCGGCAATGTCGTCCCACTTCCATTCGAAAAGGTGGACCATGCCACTGCGTCCTGAGGCGTAGTTGGTGTTGAACTGGGCGTTGGCCACCGCCAGGAGGGCGAGGCATACAATACTCTTGGCCAGAAACATTTTAATTCAAAGCTGAATTTGGCTCTGAAGCAGTAAATGCACTGCCCCCGCTTATATAGGGGGTCTACTGATTCGTTGGGAGTGATTTCCGAAATCTCGGGATCTAATCAACTCCGGAGGAATTTCTTTGCACTTGGTGGGGTACGATAATCAAATATAGCTTATCAAACTTCATGTAGACAAATAGGCTGGTATGGGCTGATGTCTATGACGATTATTTGAGGAATTTATTAATGGTGATTCTTAGACACTGCATTCCTTTTATATCGCACGGAATGCGTAATTTATGCGCCACTTCAGTATCACGCGAACTGCAGCGTGATCGGCTTAGACTATAACCTGTGTATTAGTATTTACTTAAGAAATAAACAATCAAAAAAAATTAAAGAACATATTTTGTTTTTTTTTTAATAAATTACCAATTACCACTGTGTCCTCGGTGATGGCCTTATCTTCCCCAATCCTGCTTCGATTCTCAAGCGGAGTACCTTTAACGATTTCTCGATCGATTCGCCACCATTCTGCATCAATATCCTGAGACAAAATATTTTTTAGATATTTTGTCCATTTTTCGTGGTGGGATCCCTTGAAAATGTGGTTTTCCCCTATAGGGTCCACTGTGATGGCTATATCTTCCCTAATCCTTATCCGATTCTCAAGCTGAGTACCTTAAACGATTTCTCGATCGATTTGCCACCATTCTGCATCAAAATCCCGAGACAAAATATTTTTTAGATATTTTGTCCATTTTTCGTGGTGGGATCCCTTGAAAATGTGGTTTTCCCCTATAGGGTCCACTGTGATGGCTATATCTCCCCCAATCCTAATCCGATTCTCAAGCTGAGTACCTTAAACGATTTCTGGATCGATTCGCCACCATTCTGCATCAAAATCCTGAGACAAAATATTTTTTAGATATTTTGTCCATTTTTCGTGGTGGCATCCCTTGAAAATGTGGTTTTCCCCTATAGGGTCCACTGTGATGGCTATATCTTCCCTAATCCTTATCCGATTCTCAAGCTGAGTACCTTAAACGATTTCTCGATCGATTCGCCACCATTCTGCATCAAAATCCTGAGACAAAATATTTTTTAGATATTTTGTCCATTTTTCGTGGTGGGATCCCTTGAAAATGTGGTTTTCCCCTATAGGGTCCACTGTGATGGCTATATCTTCCCCAATCCTAATCCGATTCTCAAGCTGAGTACCTTAAACGATTTCTGGATCGATTCGCCACCATTCTGCATCAAAATCCTGAGACAAAATATTTTTTAGATATTTTGTCCATTTTTCGTGGTGGGATTCCTTGAAAATGGGGTTTTCCCCTATGGTGTCCACTGTGATGGCTATATCTTCCCCAATCCTAATCCGATTCTCAAGCTGAGTACCTTAAACGATTTCTGGATCGATTCGCCACCATTCTGCATCAAAATCCTGAGACAAAATATTTTTGAGATATTTTGTCCATTTTTCGTGGTGGGATCCCTTGAAAATGGGGTTTTCCCCTATAGGGTCCACTGTGATGGCTATATCTTCCCCAATCCTAATCCGATTCTCAAGCTGAGTACCTTAAACGATTTCTGGATCGATTCGCCACCATTCTGCATCAAAATCCTGAGACAAAATATTTTTGAGATATTTTGTCCATTTTTCGTGGTGGGATCCCTTGAAAATGGGGTTTTCCCCTATAGGGTCCACTGTGATGGATATATCTTCCCCAATCCCAATCCGATTCTCAAGCTGAGTACCTTAAACGATTTCTGGATCGATTCGCCACCATTCTGCATCAAAATCCTGAGACAAAATATTTTTTAGATATTTTGTCCATTTTTCGTGATGGGATCCCTTGTCTAATTTGTCTAATTTGCTGGAATTATGTCCTTCATTTCCAATAATTTAAATAAAGCATTTTACTGTAGGTTTATAGTTCCATAAAATTTAAAGCTTAAATAAAGTTTTGAAAATTTAAATAAAGCTGAATGCGCGGGATATTATGATTTTATGATCGTGAAATCGTTCTGTGTATCGATAGTTGCAATCGGCGGCATTCGCTTTTTATCGAAACCTTCATCCCTAAGACTGGAACAGCTGTTTTTCGGGTAGCTCATCTCCAGCGGCTCGAACAGCTGACGACGTGCACTTGGCGACGTAACTTTGATTGTTGTTGTTGGACAAGAGAGGATTTCGGATCCGTTTGGGAAAACCAGTTTGTGGAAGTGGAAGTGGCCAACGTGAGCATAACTGCAACGGCAACTGACCAACTATTACAAGCCACCATCAAGAGAGGGGGAAAAGCGACAGCGGTGGATGCCTGCCAAAAAGAAAGTTTTGACGCAATCCACGGGCCGCTGCCTGTAATGAAGAAGCGTCGACGCCGCAGTAGTTGCTGCACCATACCCGTGGACGGACGCAGCTTCGGCTTACCTGTAGATCTCTGGGTTAGTTGGGCCCCGTTCCGCTCTTTATCTTAATCATATTCCCTCGTAAGACTTCACCTTTGTTTCTTTATCTTGCCAACAGCATCGGAATTGGGACTGAAATTGGGATCGAACAACGGACAACAAGCAACGACATCTGACATCCGAACAACAAAAGCCTCAGACTGCGGGAAAAGTGAAATCGCTGATAAACTCAAATACCCCCAGTCGTCTGTTGAGAGAGTAAATCAATGAATGGACTGAACCATCTGAACCTGGAATCTATTTTGAGAGCATGGCGGAATTGGCGCGCACTTGGGTATAACCGAGATAATAGTGAAGTAATCGCCCAGACAGGGAAATTAGACAAGCGACATCCCCACGCTCCACTGAGCATGACACTTGTAAGTTCCATCCCATTCCATCAACTACATTCCGCGCAATCCCCCACTTACTCCTGTTATTTCTTCATCTTTGTCTACGCATTTTTACACATCAATTTGGCCATCAAGATGATGAATGTGTAAACAATTCGGAGTTTGCGCCCGGCCGCACCTTTTAAACTCTTTGAATGAAAGCTACAGTCCAACTTCTTTAAGTCGGAAACTGAAATATTTATTAAGTCTCCGCGTCCCTATTTTGGGCATCAAATCGAATTTATATTACAAGAATTTTAATAAATAATAATTCAAATTTTACAAATATTTTTAAATATTTAAATGTTGAAAACACGTACACATCCTACTTCCGATAAAAATTCGATTTATTGAATTTCAACTGTAATAACGCTGTTGGCATATTCGGTTTTCTTTATTTTACAGAAATGCCATTGAAGAGTTGGCAGTCGCAGCAATAAAAGTGAAATCCGTACGAGCAACCGCACGCATACGAAAAGCGAATCCAAAGCAGTTCCGAAAAAGTCATGGCGGTAACCACAGGCTCCAGCACTGGAGCAACCACAACCGCTCCTCCCCCTGTTCAGCGGCGCAAGCATAGTACTCGGGAGCAACTCCACCAGATGCTTGCCGGCGGTCTATCCGCTGCCATCACACGTTCCACCTGCCAGCCTCTGGATGTACTCAAGATCCGCTTCCAACTTCAGGTGGAACCGCTGGGCAAAGCTCGCGGAAATGAAGTTGGTGCTGTGGGAGCCCTTACCTCGAAATACACGTCAATTGGACAGGCGATAAAAACCATATATCGGGAAGAAGGGCTTTTGGCTTTCTGGAAGGGCCACAATCCTGCCCAGGTGCTGAGCATCATGTATGGTATTTGCCAATTTTGGACATACGAACAGCTCAGCCTACTTGCCAAACAGACGAGGTACCTTGCCGACCATCAGCACCAATCCAATTTTTTGTGTGGTGCCGCGGCCGGAGGAGCAGCGGTGATTATATCCACACCTCTGGACGTAATCCGTACCAGACTGATTGCGCAAGATACCAGCAAGGGTTACCGGAATGCCACACGTGCCGTGTCAGCCATCGTACGACAGGAGGGTCCAAGGGGCATGTACCGTGGACTGTCCTCTGCTCTGCTTCAGATCACTCCGCTGATGGGAACAAATTTCATGGCATACCGATTATTCAGCGACTGGGCGTGTGCCTTCCTGGAGGTTGGTGACCGCAGCCAACTGCCCACCTGGACACTTTTGATGCTAGGAGCCTCCTCGGGCATGCTCTCCAAAACGATCGTTTACCCCTTCGACCTAATCAAGAAGCGGCTTCAGATCCAGGGCTTCGAATCGAATCGCCAAACCTTCGGACAGACATTGCAGTGCCGTGGAGTCTGGGATTGCTTGCAGCAAACAGTGCGGCAGGAGGGCGTGCGCGGCTTATACAAGGGCGTGGCCCCCACACTCCTCAAGTCAAGCATGACTACGGCCCTGTACTTTAGCATTTACGACAAGCTCAAGCAGGTGCGCTTCTAGGTCGGATCGGTGTCGGAGCCGCAACAGCGAGTCGGGGTTAATGGGAGCTCAAACCCATTGTGGCAGAATCTACGCTGTATTTTCTATTTTTATATACATTTACCACAGCGTGTAAATAATATTAAGACATACTATAGGCTAGCTGTTGATTAGTTTTCGGTTATGCGTACGGGGTTTCAGTTTATCTTAGTTTAATTAATTTGGGCAAAGCACACACCACTTGCTATTAGCGCACCAGTTAAGTAATCTATATTATATATTACATACATATATGTATATTAATATAGTCTTTAGTTGACTATTCAAAAGCAAAGCCACTCAAATCCATTTTTATGTGTACCTTTTGTTGAATTTGCAAACACAACTGAGGCCAGGTAGCCCGTTTTGTTTTATTATCTTTATCAACTTTAAATATTCAGGGACTTTCATAAAACTTGACTACATTGAAAGGTTGAAAGAGTTCTATCTAACGAATGAATAAGTTAATAAATGAGATGTATTATTTTTTAAGAAAAATTATATTTTAAGTAAGGAATGGAATCTTTTAAGAAAACTGGTAATATGGTAAGTTATCGATGCCAACATTTTGAAAAAGCTAGCTCTGCTGAGCTTTTTTTGTTGTGAAATACAAATTGGTATAAAAAGAGCGCACCCGGCGGTGTGTCACGGTATTGTCTTGCCATTACCACTTAACTGAAAATGGCTCTGGTTAAAAAAATCTGCACTGATAAAAAAAACAACATTCCCTGGGTCTTGTGGCTGTCGCCCGACGAAGTTCCCGACCCATGCATGCCCCAGGTAGTAGCGTTTGACTTTCTAGTCAACATTGGGGGAAGACATTGCCGATGGATGAACCTATACGAGCGAATAGCCCAGGAGTTTGCCGGAAGAATCCTCTTTGGGCTGAGGGACATTTCCAATATTCAGGAATTTAACTCCAACCTGAACCCCAAAGATTTTCGGAGTTTCAGGCTCCACTTTCCCCCACTGATCTTTGCCAAAGATCGAGAGAAGCGTGTCTACGAAATGCACAAGCTCTTTACCTATAAAAATATGAAGGATTTTTGTGATCAATTGCTGCGGGAAAAGCTGTTTCAAGCTGTAGTCCTGGGCGGAACAGTCGGAGAGGATTCGCCGCCGAGAAACTTCTTTGACTTGCAAGATGAGTGGAGCGAAGACATCTTTGTCGTGTTCTATGAGCCAGGTACTGAGTGTTGGACCATCCAGGAACGTATACTCCGCAAGCTGGTCCGCCTGCTGGATAAGGACGATCTTATGCCTGTGGTGGTGGATACGACGAAAAGCTTCATAGGCGTTGGCTTCCATCGCTGGTTAAATATGGTAAAATGTCACGGAACCAGCATCATATTCCGACCTGAGGGGGATGGCTGGGATATAAATATTCAGTCAAGACTGGAGACTACTCGCTTATACCTGCAATACATAGCCCAGAATCGAAGGGTCGAGCTAAAAAACTTTGATGCCAATGGAGAGCCACGGGGACCAGAAGAGGCACTAGAGTTCATAAGGTATATTTTTATGGTAAACTAAATAGTTTTGTGAATAAAAAATTAGTGATTAGACTCTTGGCAAACAATTGTTTCTCTCGTTATAACATTTTGCGAGACAAGAATACGAGATAAGATATCATTTTCTAAGAAAAAAATGTCTTCTTAGTGACTTCAGAATTTCATACACGTTTTTAGTAAAATTTCAATTAAGATAAATAGGTTCTAGTTTTATTAAGAATCTTCAATACATTTATTTTTTATAAAATTGGTACTTAAAAGTTCGGAAGTGACTACAACATTTTCCTTAATAAGCCAAGACTTCTAACGAATTATATAGTACTATTTTCTTTTTAAAATTATCAACCTTTTTGACCTAATTATCCTAATTTTTCTACATTTCCAATTAATACATTTCCGAAGGTCTTTTTTAAAAATTGTAGACTATATATAGGACAGTATAATTAGCTTTATTGAACGTGAATCTTTGAATCGATTCATTCAGCTTCCTAGATATATTTTATGATGGCTTATATGCGCACGTTTCGATATCATGCCTTATTGACGCACCGAGTCCAATTCCGGATTGAATTAAAATTCCGAGCGCATTCGAGGGGTACCTGGCTTCTAGCCACGGCTATAAGTAGGAGCGTGGGGCAACACAGACGCCCAGGTGTCGGCCACCATGCCGCCGAAAAGCAACGACATTACGGGAGTGCTCTACGAGTCCGATGCCGAGACACTGGACGGCGGATTGGCCAAGGATCTGGGCCAGCTAAAGACCACCGATGGAAGCAAACTGCAGTTGGTGTGGCGCAACATCGTGCTGTTTGTGATCCTGCATTTATCGTCGCTTTACGGCGTTTGGTTGCTCTTTACGACGGCCACGTGGACAACGTTCCTACTCTTCCCGGTGGCCCTGGTAGTAACGGCTCTTGGAATATCTGGGGGTGCTCATCGCCTTTGGGCGCATCGAACCTTCAAGGCCAACGTTCCGTTGCGGTTGATCTTCCTGTTCCTGAACACTCTGGCCTTCCAGGATGCGGTCTATATCTGGGCCAGAGATCACCGAGTTCACCACAAATACACGGAGACGGACGCTGATCCCTACAACTCCAGGCGCGGATGGTTCTTCTCGCACATCGGTTGGCTCTGTTGCCGGAAGCATCCGGATGTGGTCGCCAAGGGCAAGCAAATCGACCTGTCCGACCTCGAGGCAGATCCTCTGGTGATGTTCCAGAAGAAGTATTACTTGTGGCTAATGCCGCCCATCTGCTTTGTTTTACCCACTGTGCTGCCCATGTACCTGTGGGGAGAGTCCCTGAACTGCGCCTGGCATGTGATGGCTCTGCTTCGGTGGTGCACCACCCTTAATCTCATCTGGCTGGTGAATAGCTCAGCTCACATGTACGGAATGCGTCCCTACGACCGGAATATTAGTCCCACCGATGAGAGCTTCCTGGTAGGGCTGCGATTCGGCGAAGGATATCACAACTACCACCACGTCTTTCCCTGGGATTACAAGAGTGCCGAGCTGGGCCCATATTCCAAGGATGTCACCACCGGATTCATCAACTTCTTTGCCCGGATAGGCTGGGCCTATGACCTCAAGAGCGTGTCCTGTGATTTGGTGAAAAAAAGAGTCCTTCGAACGGGAGACGGTTCCCATCCCGTGTGGGGCTGGGGCGACAAGGATCAGCAGAGGGAGGACATCGTTGGAACCACTGTCACCCACCAGCGGAAGGATGACTGAGGATACCTTTCAAGTTAGATTACAAAAGTGAGGATATAGACTGTTTTTTATATTCAAAAATTGAATTGAATTGGATTGGATCTGTTAAAAATAAACCCAGTTCTATACAAAAAATCTTAATCACTGAAGCTTATAAGTATTTCCTTGAACATATTTTTAAAAACAAAATCTAAGACGGATTAAGATTTAAACGACCGAAACAAAAATTAATATTTAAAACCGAAATTTGAATAAGTACGCTCTAAAAAAAAGCTAAGTTTCATAGTTATAGGTATAGATAAGGGTGTATATTTAGAACTTAATTGGATTATTGGTATCTCTTGGCTGGACATGGATCATGACCTTGATGGCTCCACCCAATCCGCGGCGGGAGGTCTCAAAAGCGTCAGCCGTCTCCGTGATGTCGAAGTGGTGCGTCACCAGACGCTTCACGTTCACCTTGCCAGAGGCCACCAAAGCCAAAGCGGCGGAGTAGCTGCGAACACAGAATTATCAAAAAACTAATAAACCTCAAATCCGGAGATAACCTACTCGTTGCAGTAACGGAAGACGCCACGGATATCGATTTCACGGGCCAAGGCGTTGATCAGTGGCAGCTTCACCTCCGGAGCACCCATTCCCACCACGACGACTACGCCGCCAGATCTGGTAGCCTGTATATCAGAAATTATATAGATTTATAAACTATTAACTATTAACAAAAGAAAAACTATCTTACAAAGATGGCCAGGCGAGCGCTGCTCTCAGCTCCGCAGCAATCGATGGATTTGTCGGGAGCCGAACTCATGGTCTGGTGCACCACCTTGACGGTCTCCTCGGCGGTTTGATCCTTTTGGAGGAGAAGAGTGTACGTAGCACCCAGCTCCTTGGCCACGTCCAGGCGCTGCTGCACCAGGTCAGTGATAAGAATCTCGGAAGCACCCATGGCTTGAGCCGCCTGTTTGGAAGGTGAATCAACTATAAAATTATAATTACTAAATTTTAGTCCCCTCCACTTACCAGCAGAGTAACCAAGCCTATGGGACCAGCGCCGAGAATCAGCACCTTGGATCCCAAAGTCACGCCAGCACGACGGCAGGCATGCACTCCTACGGAGAGGGGTTCCAGGAGTGCAGCCTCCTCCATGCTGACATGGTCCGGTAGCTTGAAGCAGAAATCCGCAGCGTGTTTGTAGTAGCGAGTGAGATTTCCGTCATAGGGGGGAGTGGCGCAGAAGACCATTCCAGCGCACAAATTATACTGACCCTGCTTGCAATGGTCACAGTAACGGCAGGGTACTCCTGGCTCGATGGCAACTCGATCGCCGACCTTCAGGTTGGTCACCTTTTTGCCCAGCTTGGTCACCACGCCGGCAGCCTCGTGGCCAATGATCATGGGCTTGGTTAGCACGAAATCACCAATGCGTCCATGGGCAAGGTAGTGAACATCGGATCCACATATGCCGACACTATCCATAGCCAAAAGAACCTCTGGAATAAGTGAAACAAATTTTTAATTATTTAGCACATCCAGTATGTCTTATATAATCTTATATCACTTCCGTTTATAGGAAACTTTTTTTTTCTGACACATTTATTCAGATTTATTTATAACTAAATTAGATGTACTACTATATTTATTAATTTTTTTTTATCTTATCTTCTCTTGGTTGTTTTTATTAAATCACAAAAAATTTACGAGCCTTTTTTATTAAGGCCTTTAACAGCCCAAGGACCATAAGTATTATGTTGTATTATGTTGTATAAAAGCCAAAACTTTTAAAATACAGTAAACTATTCAGTAAAAATATTCACTATTCAAAATGGTTTCCGTTTTATCAGGACCTTTTTAAATATCTTGGGAGTATTTTTTTCATAGACACTGTTACTTTAAAAAAGCTTACCATCATCAGCGATTTCCGGAATGGGGCGTTGCTCCTGCAGGAAGTAAACTAATGGTTGGAAAACAGTTCCTTAATGGCTTTCCTGTTAGGACTTACCAGGCGGAGGTCCTCGATTCCATAAAGGACAGCAGTGAGATTATCCGTTGCCATGACTACCGTTATTTGACTCTAACTTTTTTGCACGTCAGCTTCCTTCAAAAGCCAATTTCGAACTGAATTCACTATTCGATCTATTCAGAACGGTGCGCTGGCAAATGGGTAATAATTATAGTAGTATATATATTCAAACTTGCCTATATGTGTATTTGCTCAGTGGGGCTACAGTTATCATCGGATATGATAACTTTTGTTGATGCAATTTTTGCTCCAAAAATAAGAAACATATTGGAGAGCCTATAAATTATTCTAGGTGCTCATGCTAACTACTACGATTAACTCAGCCTAGTGCCAAGCAAATAATAGTTATTATCGACCCGGTCGAGCCCCTTTTCGTTCTTTATATTCGCTCTCGCCTGTAATTTGTTGCTGTGCTCTTGATTGCTCCAACAGCTGACTTGTATTTACCCCCCAAAGCTTGTTTACACATTTTTTGGAGGCAGCCATGCCGGCAAAAACACAAGCCCCAAAAGCTTTTTTTGTTTCCCTTATAACGGCACCCTTTCCCCATCATATATCTTAATTTTTGCTTAATAAAAAGAAAAAGTGGAATGTACTGAATCTTTTTCCCGAATCAAACTTTGTATACACTTCCAAATAAGTATAAAAATAATAATCAGCACAATCTGAATGGTACACTTTTTATCATCATACCTTCCTTTGATTGAACTGAAACTTGAAAGATATTCCTATAATGTCTTGAAAACCCCTGATAACAAAAACCTCAACAAAATCGGAATACCCTTTTTTATGTTATAGGAGGAACAAATATTTATGCAAATAAAAAGCAAGTGGCAGGTCTCATTTAACAACGCAATAAGCATATCAGGTTTGTTTGTGTTTGCTATATGTGGGTTTTATTCGCTTTATTTCTCTGGCTAATATATTCAATTCAATAAGTGTTTGATATTCGGGTTCTTAGTTTTCTTAACATATAGAATTTCTATTTTAAAAACTTTCGCTTATATATATATTTATTTTTGTATATAGATGTGTGGCTTTGCTGCTGGATTTTTGTAGACGTAGAAATAAAAAATGTTTGCTTAAAACTAAGAAAAAGTTTCCATCACGACAACTGCGCATTTAGGTTGGCGGTTTTTTTTGTTTTTTGGTTTACTTTTGAATATAAATGCATAATCTGTAAATGCGAGTTGTGTTTTTTAATATGTTTCGTATTTGGTTTTAAATTTGGCTTTGAGTTTGAAAGCAAAGTTTAAAGTTTTAGGGCTAGTGCCAAACTACAACAGTTACTGCATTAAGTACATTATAACCTTGCAAATTGGTTCAAAATTTAAAGGATGGAGTATGGAGTTTATGGAACGGATTAAAAATGCTTGTAGAATGTTACTCCCAATTAAATAACAGAATTAAATCGTACCTAACTATAGTTAGGTTTAATTTGAAAATCATAAAAAATTAGCAAAAGGAAATTGTCATCTGAATTGGCTAGCAATTATCTATGAAAATATTGAGCAATCATATTGTTACACAACATTTTTAGATCAGCTACTATTATTTTTTTTTTAGTTTGAAACAAATGCAAGGTTACATTATTGGCTTCGGTTTTCCGAACTCTCCGAAAGATATCCTAGTGTTTTAGACGCTGTGCGAGTGTTGAGATTTCTAGTAACTTAATTTCTAGGCTCTTTAAGTTTGGATAATGTTTTAACTTCGATATCTATCTGTTCGTGTATATAGTATATTTCCGGTTTCTAAAGCTGCAATTGCAGACATATGTTTATGTCAATGTAAAAGGAACAAATTTGGCCAAAGGAAACTTAATGTGTCGAGTGATGGCACTCCTGCACTGCAAATGTAATTACGTTTTTATATCACACTTATGGTCGAAAATGCGGGCCCGCAATACAAATGAAACTTCCTACATGGAGAGCTCCTGGCGCGGTTTATTGATGTGCAACTTCTGTGGGTCCTGCGGCGCAACACAGATGTCGGTAAGGATGACCACCTCGTATGGACTGCAGTCGGGCATTCGCAGGAAGCCGCACAACCAGCCGTAGAATCCCTTCTCGATGTCCGTGATGTCGTTCACCCAACTGCTATACTGCAGGCTCAGCTGTCGGATGCCGGAGTAAATACCCAGCCCAAAGGTGCACAGGACGATGACCAGCGGATAGACCGCAAACAGGAGCGGGGTCACCAGGATCTTGTGCAGGTACGTACGCTCCTCGCAGTAGTAGTTGAACATGTTGTACCAGGTAAGAGTACCAATGTAGAAGGAGTACACCCCCGAGATGACCGTCACAAATGGAAGGCACAGCAGCGATATTAGCAGGATATGGAGTCCCACTCCACAGCTACAGCGGCAACACAAGCTGCCGCCTTTATGCGTCTCACTGGCCATTGCATTGGCATTCAACTGCTCCAGCTCCTCGCGACTGATGTTGATCTGGAGATCCACCGACTGGCCTTTTTTGCGACCCCGCTTGATGGTGCCCGTCATGGTCAGGTATCCTTCCTTTCGCGCCTGGTAGCTTCGCTCCAGGCTCTGGTCGTAGGTGTTGAGCACACTCGTCTCCCCCGATTCCAGGTCCTCATAGTTGGCGATATCCGGCGATGAGCGCTGATTGCGCGCCTGACCGGGCAGATCAGAGGTCCTAATGTTCACTCGCTTCTTGGAGGAGGATCTGTTGCTCAGGCAGTCCTGCGACTTGCTAAGCTTTGCGTCCAAGCTGCTCTCCGAGTAGCAGCAACTACTGGGAGTCACCGTGCTGCTCTCATGTCTTTGGGAATTGGATTTTGTACCCTGCGAGATGGACTCGAAGTTTTGCAGCTCGTTGATGTTACTGGTCGAGCGAGCTGATTTCTGGCTGTGCTGAGTGGAGCTAGCCGAGTGGGTACTGGCCAAGGTATCCTGGGCATTGGGAACTCCAAGTTCCCCCGGAAGTTGCGGTAACGGTTGCTTGTTCTTGATAATCAGCTTTGTCTTGCGGAGCTCCTCCTCGAGTCCGGGATTTGAAGGTGACAATTTAGGTCGATTTTGCTAGAATCATTTAAATTAATATGTATATATTAATAAAATAGGGTATGGAACATATGGTAGTTTTTTTAAAAATTGGAATGGATTACTTTTATCCTTTCAAAGTTAAACAGTTCAAAATTCTAACCATTTATGTAGGTTTTTTTTATAAAGTTCCGCAAAATTAGAAAAGGTTTTCGTATATTTTTTTTAACAAATGGTTTAATTTTCTCACCTGGACGCTGACGATGTGATCCACATAATTCTGTTTTTTGGCCTCCGATTTTGTTTGTTGACGTTTCCGTGGGGGAATAAAAACAGGGCGTTCCTTGCTGCCCGTGCCTGTGTCCACGCCCAATCCACTAGAACCCTTTCCCACCATTTTAGACGTTTTCTAAGAATTCTTCATAAAAAACTACTCCATCTTTTAAAAAAAGTGTTAGCTTTTATCCTTTCTCTGAGTTACTTAACGCGTATAAGGACGAAAAATGCACTTCCGGCCTTTGTCGCTCTGTGGCTGTGTTGTTATTGATTTTTCCGAGTCTGCTGGCACGTCCTTGTGCTGATTTGGCGTTCGTTGGCGTTATTTTGGGGCTGGTGTTGTTGCATTTTGGGCTGGGCGGGCAATGTTTACAAAAAATTTGGCGCCTGCGCCTCAAGGATTTTTTACTTGCAAATGCAATAGCTTCAGAAACAAAAACAGCTGATTTTAAACAAGGATTTTATATTTATTTTATGTTTTAAGGAATATACATAATTAATCTGAACATTTTTGTTTATAAGTTTCAAATCCTTGATTCTCATAGGTTAAGGTTAATAGGCCCAATTAATTTAAAATAACTTTCAAACATTTATCTTTTGTGTGTTGTTTTTTATGTTTCTTGTTTTATTGTTGTAATTGATATAGAAATTATTGACACCATTGAAAATTCAAAATCCGCACCTGGACCATTAAAAGCTTTTTCAGAGCTTAATGGCATAGTGTGGCGATTTTAACCTGGTCACATTAAAGCCGGTATCTCCGGGAACTCTTGCTTTCTCTCTCTTTACTTTCTCCAATTGCCATTTTCGAGAACCGGCGATCCTACCGTACTAATACTATTATAGGAGTAGAATCCAACCACAAAACCTGAGAACATTTGCGTAAAAAGTTTTCTTTTGGGCGAATAAAAAAAAAGAGTAAAAAACAGTGGGACCAAAGTTTTTACTTTGCATATAGCGTTCTCTGATTAATTACCAAGAGACCGATCAGAGCGAACTTTACTTCGTTATCACACCTTCAGTCGATTGGATCTTGTCGAGAAACTTTCCGTTGCAAATATGTCCGCTACAGCAGGCAAGGTAAGACAGGAATTTTAATTAGGAAAAACACACCTGTTAATCAATGCCTCCGAAGGTTATAACATGCAAAGCAGCAGTGGCATGGGAGGCCAAAAAGCCTCTGGTGATCGAGGACATCGAGGTAGAGCCGCCCAAAGCTCACGAGGTAAGTTCGCCAATTCCATTCCAGATGGTGTGATATAGCAACTTAAATTAACAAAAAAAATCTTAGGTGCGAATCAAGATTACGGCAACTGGTGTCTGCCATACTGATGCCTTTACCCTGAGTGGCTCCGATCCAGAGGGGCTTTTCCCAGTGGTCCTGGGCCACGAGGGCGCCGGCATTGTGGAGAGCGTCGGCGAGGGCGTGACCAACTTCAAGGAAGGTGATCATGTTATCGCTTTATACATCCCGCAGTGCAACGAGTGCAAGTTTTGCCAGAGCGGCAAAACCAATCTCTGCCAGAAGATCCGCTTGACCCAAGGTGCTGGAGTCATGCCTGAGGGCACTTCCCGCCTGTCCTGCAAAGGACAGAAGCTGTTCCATTTCATGGGCACCTCGACGTTCGCAGAGTACACTGTGGTGGCCGATATTTCGCTGACGAAGATTAACGAGAAGGCGCCCCTGGAAAAGGTGTGCTTGCTGGGATGTGGCATTTCTACCGGATACGGCGCTGCCCTTAACACCGCCAAGGTAAGCAATATAAAGACGTTTTTAATGCCTGAAATATAACTCTATCAATAAACAACGATTTTTTTTGCATTCTAGGTGGAACCTGGTAGTACTTGCGCTGTTTGGGGATTGGGAGCTGTTGGCCTCGCCGTCGGACTCGGCTGCAAAAAGGCCGGAGCCGGCAAGATCTATGGCATTGACATCAACCCCTCAAAGTTCGAGCTGGCAAAGAAGTTTGGTTTCACCGACTTTGTAAATCCTAAAGACGTCGCCGACAAGGGAGCGATCCAGAACTACCTAATCGACCTAACAGATGGTGGATTCGACTACACCTTTGAATGCATTGGCAATGTGAACACCATGAGGGCTGCTCTGGAGGCCACTCACAAGGGCTGGGGAACCTCGGTGGTAATTGGCGTAGCTGGAGCTGGTCAGGAGATCAGCACCCGCCCCTTCCAGCTGGTTGTGGGCCGCGTATGGAAGGGCTCTGCTTTCGGAGGCTGGCGCTCCGTTTCAGATGTACCCAAGCTGGTGGAGGATTATTTGAAAAAGGACTTGCTGGTGGACGAATTTATTACCCACGAACTGCCGCTGTCGCAGATCAACGAGGCCTTCGACCTTATGCACAAGGGCGAAAGCATCCGGTCCATTATCAAGTACTAAAGAAGTTGGCATTTATTATTGATTTCTTTCCACATCTTTGTAAGAAGCTTGCTATTATATGGTTTAATAAACATTCAGTGTATTTTGGTACGTAACAGTTATCTCAACTGGGGGGCTCACTTTCTGGCAGTCGATCCCAGCATTCTTTGGATTTTCTTATCTGCGTGGTCTATTAAGGTTATCAAACTCAAAGTTCAAGAAACTGTAATTGTTCTAGAATCTAGTTATTTTTTGTTTTTGTTAATACTATTTCGCAACTTTAGATTACGAGTGAGCTATAAAAAAAAACAGGGTCAGCCCCAAAACCGGACATCCTCGAGGAGAATGAAAAAGAAAAGGCCATGACCATCAATATAGTATAATATATCTGTATTTGAATACACGCTACAACAAGGATTTGCACACAGACGCACATACACTTAAAATTCCTAATAAGTCTAGTATGTTTGCTGCTTTTTTTTTGTTTTTTGATCAAAGTTACATGCAGTTTTGGTTTCGTCTTTTAAATATAATTCTCATTTTAAATGCATAATTCTTATGGAAGTGGCTAACTTATATACAAGTTTTTTAAATAGTACAATATTGCATACATACGTGATTAAAACGTTTAAATTTGTTCGATTGTGTTGTGTTTTTGTGAATTAGAATCACATTGACATATAAAACACACATAATTTCTACTTTGTGATTACATATTGATATAAATACGGGACCTTAGGCTAAAGAGTAAAAAATACTTCTTAAAGACTTTTCGGAAAGTGAAGAACACAACTTAGAGAGTCATAGAAAGCCAGGTCTATGGATTGAACTAGGGCTTGGATTAGAGTTGGATTCGAAGCTATTTGAGCACGGTCAGGACCAGATTCACATTCGCGTGTTATAGTATGGGTCGTCTTCGCACGGCGGATATCCGTACAAGTACGGATTGTGGTATGGCACTCACGACCAGCGCGATTTCTGCAGGTCGATCTGGCCCTCAAGTGTCTTGGCCAGATAAATGACGAACAGCTGAAGTAGAGCGATGCCTAGGGCCACGCCCGCAATCACATAAAGGTTTCGCTCCACCCAAACCCGTACAATCTCAATGCAGCCGCTTGTCCAGATGCGTTTGCTAGCGGCAGCCACTGAGTGCTCCTGCACGCCGTAGCCGCACATGATATTTACTAATCCCGAACTGATATCGGTAGCGTTGATGCAGCAGCTATATGGGACTCCACACTTTTCAACTGACGGGGAGGAACAGTTAAAGTACTCATTCTTGCCTGGTGGTATAAAGAAAATTATGTTAATTTCTGTTCTGACGACTCTATTGCGGGAGTTCCCAAATTCGACTCTTAATATATGTCAATGTTACCAAAAATACTTACTCCAATCTTGGTATCCAGCATTACTAAGTCCACAGCACTTGAACTCCTGCTGGGCAAAGTCAATAAAGTTCTGCAGGTCAGAGTCGTCGCGATACGAGTGGATTATTTTATCCGTAAACTGGTACTCCAAGAAGGAATTCATGTACTGCGGGAACACGAAGCATATGATAGCCAGCGTCATCTCCATGATGAAGAACATCAGCAGGCACATTGAGTAAAACTTTAGCAGGCAGGTGTTCTCGCGCAGGGCTCCCAAACATCCAGCAAAACTAACCACAAAGACCACAATCCCGGCGATGATCATCACCAACGAGATATTAAAAATGACATCGTACACTGTGTCCACACGAACCCAACCGTTTCCATCCTTCAGCTTATCCATAAAAGCGTAAACGCCGGTGGCCAAGAGAAGTCCTCCAAACAGCCAAAATAGGAAGTTTAGTAGAAAGATCATGTATTTCACGCAGGACGAGACATAGGTGAAGTGATGCGGGTAGGACATACGAGGATGCATGTAGCTCCCGCCATTGTGATATCTGTGGTTGCTCATGATAATCTCAAGTCTTATGATAAATCTTTATCTCCTGTTGTAGTAGTTTTCTTTTTTTTTATGGAATCCACCCCCCACTGCTATTTTTTTGTTGACGCCCTCTTCGATGGTGGTCTTTCCACAGCAGCCTGCTTTGGTGGCGGAACTCCAGGCAAGTTCTCCGGCAGTGGCAAGTTCTATTTATCTGGAAATACGTCAGTTATATACTTTTCTTTGCATTTTTTTAATGTTCACAAACAATTTATATGGACAAAAGAATAACAAAGTCGTTCGTCGTTGCCAGTAGAGATGAGTCAACCCCTCACGATAGATGGAATGTATCGAGTACATAAAAATTGTTATATCGATGTTTGTTTACATACTTAATGGTCCAAAATTAAATATTATTCATTGATTAGAAAACCTAAATATATACATATTTAAAAGTTGTCATGTTCTATAAACACGTTTTTTACGATTTTAATTAAAATCGATAAATTTAGTTATCGATAGGCATATTGCCATCGATTGTTTCACAGCTGATTTGCTGTTATTTTTTGTATGGGGATAGACTAGGTTTTTAATTTTCCATTTTCCTCCGCTGCGTAACATTGCGACGCGCGTTTGTGTTTTTTCGCTAGCAGCACGCTTTGCCACAGACCGCATAAACAAAAGGCCAAAAATAGAAGCACGACAGGCGTAGCACCATTTCGGGCGCTTTTCGAGCAGGTGAGTAGTTTTCCAGGCAAGCCCAAGGACATGCGACTGATTGGATAGTGTGAGAAAAACTATACCTGTGTGTGTTGGCTGACATTGGAGCTCTCCAGATGCAAAGAATTCTGAGCGTCTGGGAATTTTCATTTAATGAGCGTGCAATTGAGCTTCCATGGCTTTGCTTTCTCTCTAGTGCTTTTTCCGCTTTCTCCCTGCAACAAACCGACACACACACGCCCAAAGTGGCCAACTGACAACCCATCGTTTTGGTTAGCAAAACACAGCAATTTAAAATAGAACGGATAAATGCAAGCAAAAGGCGGAAGTGGAGAGCATTGCATAAATATTAGTTTGCGTGGGCGCAGAGGCAAAACATTGACTTTCATCCGCTCTGCCCGTGTTCATCCGAGTTTTCCGCCCCTGTGCTGTGCTGTCCGCCTCGTTGGGTGATTAAATAATCAAACAGCCGCCAGTGCCAAGTGCAGTTGTCACCTTGCATTTGGCCGAATAAAGCAAAATATAAAATGTTTTCACTTTCTCGCCACGCACTGCGGCGCACTCGAAATTTCGCACTTGCCGCCGCCAATTGTGCTGCGTCTTTTCCAGCTGCCCGCCACTTCGCAGGTGAGTGAAGCCAGGTGAACTAAAAATAGGGGGACTAAAAATTGATGCTATTTCAACTATGAAGGTGAAATTTCATCAGTTGCAGCTAACATAGTTTCCTTTTGGTGACGATATCCTTTCATACCTATAGAAGACATTCAAAGTAGTAAGCTCCACCTGTGGGTGTGCCCCGCTTTCATCGAAAACACAATGGTTCTATGCCATAGTTCCATTTGTTGAGCTCCCATCATCATCAATCGATTGGCAAACTTCTAATTTTAGACACAATTTCTAGTTCAAATTGCCGTTTGAATTCTTAATGAACGCAATTCCCCCCAGAGTCTATTTTCAGACAGTCAATGTGATTTTATTTTCGCCTTTTCTCGAAATTAATTCATTGTCTTTAATTGCCCGCGACACACTTCGGTGGTTTTTCTATTGTTGCACTCGAATAGAGCAGCCAAAACAAAAGGTGACTGACTATCCCTCCCCCTATTACTATACCGGGTGTGTGTGTGTGTGTTTACTTTGGGCGCCACTTCGTTTTATTGCCGCCGCCTAGTAAAGTATTTTTAGCCAGGGCGTTTGCGTTTCTCCACTCCATTTGTTGCTGTGTGCATCTTCGACTGCACTTAACAAATCTGTTTACACCTTCCCCAATTAGCTTTAATGTTTGTATACAAATTTATAGGCACACACAACTCCAAAAAACGCTACTCTCTGCATATAAAGAAGAGTAATCCTAGACCAAAGGTATTATTTCATAATCTATGATTTGATACCAAAAATAAACCATTTTTAGCGGTAGGACCAGGGCAGATAGTCGAAAGCAATTTCCATTTCGTTTATGACTTTATGAGCTCAAACCTATTTACCAAAGCAACATGATTTGTGAGTTTGAAAATAATTTCAGCTAGTCATAGCTTATAGGCTTATCGGATCAAGGTAACAATGTTGTTTTTATATTAGAAAATTATAAGCACCCAAGGATTAGGTGAAACTGCCACTGATAAGTAAGAGATTGCGCGCGAAGTCGTCTTTGACGACAAACCACATCTTCCACAAAAATATCTCAATTACCCAACTGGCGGTGAGCTGGGCGGTTACAAAAAAAATTCACATAACTCAACCGCAAACCAAATACTAAAGTCTCAAATTGCAGATTCACGTCAAGACAACGAAAACCCAACCAACAGGGATTCCGGAAAAGCAACGAGGATGGAGAACAAGAGCGAAAAGGTTACAGTGAACAAGGAGGAGCTCCGCAAGCGCCTGACCCCGCTGCAGTATCAGGTTACCCAGGAGGCGGGCACCGAACGCCCCTTTACAGGTTTGCCCCACACTCTAATATTAATGAGCTTTAACTTAAGAGCCTTTAGTTACAAGCTTAAAACAAATCAGAAAGTACAAAATTCATTATTTTTACTACCCATTAGGTTGCTACAACAAGCACTACGAGAAGGGCGTGTATCAGTGCATCGTGTGCCATCAGGACCTGTTCAGCTCGGACACCAAGTACGATTCGGGCTGCGGCTGGCCGGCATTCAATGACGTCCTGGACAAGGGAAAGGTCACTCTGCACCGCGACGCCAGTATACCAGGTGCGTAGATCTTGAAAGCCAGTTATCTTCTAGATAAAATGTCTAGACATTGTTCGGCACTATTAGCTGTTATTTGCAAATTATTTTGAGTTTCATTTTGTTTATATGAGTTGCTGTTTCGTTGCCGCACACAAAAAAAAGTTAAGAATGTATATTTGCGTTGTCATTGAGAGATATTAAAGTCCTGTCTGAACAAAGATGTAAATATGTGCCATCATATATTAATACGATTAGCAAATATTAGATTTGATTAAAATTGTTGACTTAGTTACCCATAAAGTTCAACCATTGAGTTAAAAAGTTTACTAAATACAGGCATTAATTTTTACTTGATAAATAAATAAAAAATTGGTTAGTTGATTTAGATTTTAATAAAAATAAAACTTCATAAAAAGATAGTTATTGCAAAATGTGTGTCCCAGTGCTGTGCTTTTTATGTTGTCTTGTGTTCTTATTTGTTTTTGCTTGATTTTTGTCTTGAGAATAATTTTAAACTAGAAGCTGAAATAGAGTTATTGTACATATGGTGCCTGCTAGCCAGAGTTCACTGTAGTTGTGCCGTTGGAGATGCTGTTCAGTTATTGTTATTACCTAGCCTTGTGGCCTTAATTGTGAATAGTGAGTGTTCCTACCTGAATGTGCAACTAAGCGAGATGAAGCGACTAAAATTAATTCCTAACCAAGTATTGTGTTCTCTTATCCACCTCTTCTATCCCCTCCTTACTCTCAAAATATCTCTTTTTTCTTAACAAAAAAACAAAAATTGAATTAAATTTCGACACTCCTCCCACACGAGTATCACTATAAACACGATTAAATCAACAGTAGTCATTTCGAAAACGCTAGGCATGGTGCGTACGGAGGTGCGCTGCTCCCGGTGCTCCGCCCACATGGGGCACGTCTTCGACGACGGACCCCCGCCCAAGCACCGCCGCTTCTGCATCAACTCTGCGTCCATCGACTTTGTGAAGAGTGCGGCGCCATCGAAAACGGACCCCCCAACAGCCTCTTCTAAAAAATAAGACCGATCTGCCTGAGCACCCCGACGTAACATAGCGGTGGAGGAAAAGCCTTATATAGACCTGAGAAATACTTTTTCCTGATGAAAACGATGAAAGATTTTGAAAGTATATAGTTTTGTTGTCAGATCTATGAAGAGCTTCAGATGCAAAAGGATATTACTATATTTTATAGCAGTTTATTATTCAAAATGTTAATCAAAAATGACAAAGCTTGTACATGACAGTTGCTCGAATATGTATTTTGGAACAGGGAGTGAGAGATTATTGTTGTAGATCAGTCAAGATCCTTTTAATTTATTTGAATATATATTTTATCTGTATTCTGTCACTGTTTTTCGGTTTCAATCCATTTATTATAAGGACAGATGTTAACCCACTTGATCAAAATTACGTGTTATCGAAAAGCTACATAGAAATTTTATAAGAGGTTATTGAAAATGTTTGCCAAAAGCAAAGTATTATGAGAAAAAACGTTGTTGAGTAGTTGAAATGTATAGGGTTAACTATAATTTAATTGGACTCTCGTTGAAAAACTTGTATAATGTGTTTTCTAGGACGATAAGAAGGATCTTCGTTTGTGAAAGGCTACCGATGGATTATGGAAAAGGGTTTTTGGCTTTTTTTGATTTTCTTGGTTGAGTGTCTTCTACTTCTTTTACCCGACTATTCTGATTCTTTTGAATTTGCGACATCATTAGCTTATTTCACATCTCATTAAGTTCATGAACCAAGGTCATAGTTTGGTTATATTTTTGGGCCAGGGCCATTATTTGTAAGTGTGTGTGCATATTTTTCTGTGTAGCGTTTTTATTTTTATCTATTTCCGCATATGTATGATTTGTTGGTGTTCTTTATTTATTTTTACTTATTTTTTGCTTCTTACTCATGCCCGATTGTTTTTAAATAACATACATTACTGCAATGCTTTTACATTTTAAACATAGACTTTATAGAGTGTCTCAAGCAAACTGAATAATGTGTATTTTCATATATTTTCTATTTCTCTTTTTTTAACTCGCTTCCCAACCAAAACAAAATCAAAAACTAAATGTACGCCTGTAATCGTTCTTTGGGGGTTTGTTTTGCTAACAAAAATACAAAAACCACATCACGCCCACAACACTTACCAACCCATTGCTGAAATTGTAACACTCGATACACGGTCTCATAAAATGCTTAATTAACAAAAATATTATTGTATTTATTCGATTTCTGATTCGTCATATGTTTTCGGTTAATTTATGTGATTTCATTTCACTTGTCAACTGTTTCTTTATTGTTTACTCTGCTGCACCTGGTACTCACTCTTCTCTCCCTCTTTTGATCCACCTGTCACCTGCCAACCCACCTTGCTGCACTCTCATATTATTTGCCGATTCATTCGCTATTTCTTCGCTCTGTCCCCCATTTCACACCCATTTTGCAATCCGTTTTCTGTTATTTTCTTTTTCAACAAAAACCTTTCGAATTAACCTTGAAAATGCGAAACGAAACAAACGATAAATTATTGTAATAATGTCAAACAAAACTGCGCTACAATTAATCCCACAAATGGCAAAATACAAATAAAAAGGGGGCAATATTTTACTACTAATCGCACAACCAGAACGCATACGCACGGAGGTCCGTTGCGCCCGCTGCTCCGCTCACATGGGACACGTTTTCGAGGATGGACCCAAGCCGACGCGCAAGCGCTACTGCATCAATTCCGCCTCCATTGAGTTTGTAACGGCGGAGAAGGATCCTTCCACATCCAGTCCTCCTGTAGCCACCTCGGCGCCCATTGCCCAGCAATGAGACCACGGTCCACCGGAAGTTGGAAGCCGGAAGCCGCTACAGAACAATCACCAGAGAGAGAATGGATAAAGCGTAACCGAAGAGTCTAACCTCAATGTTGCTGTTAAGAACGTTTTTTTACGTGTATTTTCTAACTTTCCGCAAGTGTGGCCAATTTTAGCTTGTAGTCGTCAGTCAGTCAGTCAGTCTCCGTCTGTTTCTACATATATTAGGGAAGCGTAGGCCTCATTTCCGGGATATGCCCGACGTGTGTCTTCTGTTTGTGTAAATAGCTAACGTTCTCCCATCCAAAATCTTTGTTATACATACATACACAATCAAATACTCTGTACCACATTCGAAACATTACTAATTATAAAGTGAGCGCGCTAAATAAACGTGTATTTTTTACAACGAACAACCTGTTTTTTGGTTACTTACATGGTGTAAGTGGTGGATTTTTAGTTGTTATTCAATTAATTCGTTATAAAACATAAATATAAATTTTTTAACTTTATTTTTAAGTTATTGAAATTTAAATCGCTATAAATACTAAGCTTAATATTACTCATACGCAGTGTTGCCATAAGAAAGTTTTTGAGTTATTGTAGCGATAAGTTTTTTGCCATTGCTTGAGAGAAATATAATTTTTTATGATATAATTAATTACGAAAAATAAAAATTTAAATACACCTTATTCTTTACAATGATGAAACAATAATGAAATGAAGAATGAAATTTTTGAAATTAAAAAAATAGGAATTTAAACGGTTTAGTTTTATGGTAAAAAAGATATTTCCATATTTATAAACCTCCCAGGTTATATAAAATAAGGTAGAATATCTCATTCAAATAAGCGTTGATAACAGTCAGGTGAGAACAGCTGAGCCGAGTTGCCACCTATCGAAAAATCGCACCAACAGATGCTGCAACACCGTTGTTGTTGCCGTGGCTGTGACGTAACTGCCGGCCACAATATGAAATCGAATTTATTCAAGTCACGGATGTCAATTGATTATAATTGCCTCGCCGTGTTTGGAACTGAAATTTTTATTAGAACTTAAGTGTTTAGTTTGCGACAAATCGATAACGGGCACATTTAAAGGTTGTTGCGATCATTCTCCCACAAAAAATACACGTGGTAGGGTGTCCGAAGACCCGCCAATCCGAAACACCTGTGTGCTTTGAAAGCGATTAGAGTGCTTTTTGTTTATATACGACATTCATAAGGTGGACGTATAGCCGGCCGGTTTGTCTGCAATTGCCGCATAATAAATTCGCAATTATCTAACAATCGTTAAGGCAGCGATTTCTGTGTAAATATAACGAGGGCACTTCAAAGTGATACGTATTTTTGGATCCAGAGATAAGATTGAGCCAGAGACGACCATGGCCTGATACACCAGATAGTTCCTGAATCCAGGTGACCAGTGATTTGTTGAGTTTCTCTAGCCCAGATGCATAACTCCAGCTGACGGCATCTGACCGTTATACAATTTCGTTCATCCCGCCGCCATGAGGGAGTGGTTGAAGATCTCCTGCTTGCTGTGCGTCTTCGGATGCGTCAGAGAAATCCGGCCATCGGAGCCCTATGTCACGGAGTACCTTCTTGGACCATGGCGGAATATTACAGAGAACCAGGTTACTTAAAGTTTTACATCTGGCCTTGAATTTCTTTTTAAATTAATTTGTTTTTTCAGCTCACCCACGATGTCTATCCTGTGGGAACATATTCGTACCTGGTGCAGCTGGTTTTTGTTTTCTTAATAACAGATTTTTTAAGGTAATTTAATCAGTAACAGTTAAAGAGAAGATCTTTTAAGAGAATATTTCTGAAAAGCACAATTTAATAACATATTTTATTTACTAGATACAAGCCGCTGATCATCACCATTGGAGCCACCGGTGTGATTATATGGAGTATGCTCATCTGGACCACTAGTCTGATCTCCCTGCAGATTCTGGAGTTCTTCTATGGCACCTACATGGCTGCTGAGGTGGCATACTATACGTACATCTACGCCAAAGTAGACAAAAAGTACTATCCCAAGGTTACCTCCCACACGCGGGCTGCCATGTTTGCAGGGAAATTGATTTCTGGAATCACCTCCCAGCTCATGCTCTACTGGGACCTGATGGACTACAAGCAGCTCAACTACATTACTCTGGCAAGTTAGTTAGCCCAAACAATAATTATTTGATTCTTGAAATTAATAAGATTTCATTTTTCTACAGCCCAAATCATAGCTATGCTGTGGGCTTTCAGTCTACCAAGAGTGGATAAGAGCCTTTACTTCCATCGCGAGCAGGTGCCCGTGACAGAGCAGCAGACTCAGCTGCCCGGAGAGAGCAACCTGGAAGTGTCTGATCAGCCCCGGGAAAGTGCCACCAAGCAGCCCAGTGCATTGGCACTTCTGTGGCAGCATTTTCGCAGCGCCTATACCAATGGACGCGTGATTCAGTGGAGCTTGTGGTATGCCATCGGATTGGCCGGCTACTTACAAGTTACCTACTACGTTCAGGTTCTGTGGAAAACCATTGAACCCGAGCCTGAGATGGCCTGGAACGGAGCGGTAGATGCTGTTCTAACTGCCCTGGCCGCATTGTGTGCCTTGGCAGCTGGTTACCTTCATACAGGACGTCTCAATCCACGCACTTCTCTACTAATTCTGGCCTTTTTGTCCGCCGTGGAGGGTGGCTGCGTGTTACTCTGCTGCTGGACAGAAAACATATACTGGTCTTATGTCGGGTTCATTTTATTTGGTGCTCTCTATGGCTTCACCATTACTGTAGCAAGGTATATTTAACAGTCTAATCAAATTATACCTATCTTAATGTTCCTTTTATCTTATTTCAGTGCCGAAGTGGCTCGAAACCTTCAGGAGGAAAGCTTCGGATTGATCTTCGGCTTCAATACTCTGGTGGCCCTCACTTTCCAATCTCTCTTGACAATGATCTTTGTTACGGAAACCGGCTTTGAACTTTCGCCGGTGGGACAATACACGGCATATGCCTTTTACTTCATTGCTGTGGGAGTGCTGTACCTGATATCGGTTTTGGTGGAGTACATCTGGTTCCCCGGCACAACCAGCGAAAAGCTGGAGAACTCGTTGGAATAATTGCAGATGCATTTAACCTGTACTTAACTATGCCTTTTGGCTGGATCAAGTTCTAATGGACTCAATGAAATGGTGTTCCTATCGCTGAAATTATAAGATAGTATTCCCGAAAATATTGATTAGTTTCCCGGAAAAGTTTTAACGATTTTATTAATCTGAAATCTGTTGACGAGTTTTAAGTAATCTTGTAGATATGTTCCATTTATAGAGCGCACAATCAGTACGAAATGTAGCTGAATAAAGATACCCAGCTTGTATAGACCAAAATCTTCTTCATTATCTGATAATTTATATAGCTAAAACGTGTATGTCTCTTTATGCCCTTAACTCTACAGATTTAAGATAAGGCTTTATGTAAAGATACTAATATTTTAGGCTGGTACATTGAATAAGGGCAGAATCTAATTGTCTTGTACGGAATGAAGTCTTGGCTAAAAATATCTTGCGTGCTCTGCGTATTCGGTTTCCTGCGGGAAATGCGACCGTCAGAGCCATACCACGCTGAAATCCTGGTGAGCGAATGGTATCAATTCACCGCCGACGAAGTGAACCGTTTTGTCTACCCAGTCGGCTGCTACTCCCAGTTGGCGCTACTAATCGTTGTATTTCTCATAACGGATTTTCTAAGGTGAGGATGTTTACCCTTGGCCACCTATTAAGTACTTCCTTAAAGAAGTTTCTGTTATATGAAGTTCTTCATACATAAGATAAAAGCAATAAAGTTCTTCATACATAAGATGTTCCAACCGATTGGGCTTACGTGTCTCCAAAAATCGTTAATTAATTACTAGTTATCAGGAAAATAATGGAACAAGTTAACATCGCTTCTGCTCCACAGATATAAGCCATTAATTATTGCCAACGCTGCCGCTGGAGTCGTTATCTGGACCGCATGGATCTTTACCACCACCCTTCCTGTCTTACAGGGCACGGAAGTGCTCTATGGCTTTTATTCAGCTACTGAGGTGGCCTACTATTCGTTTATCTACGCCAAGGTGGAGAAGCAATACTATCCGAAGGTAACTTCACATACCAGAGCGGCCACTTTCGTGGGAAAACTAGTTGCCGGGTTTCTATCGCAACTTGTTATAGGAATGAAATGGATGAACCTCCAGGAACTCTTTTATATCACCCTAAGTCGTATGTATTTCTATAAGTACTCCACGACTCCACAAAGTGATAATGACCTATTGTACCCTTTACAGCTCAAGTTCTAGCATTTATATGGGCTTTCTTCCTGCCCAGAGTGGAAAAAAGCTTGTACTTCCACAACAAGATCGAGGCTATCCAAGGAAATATCAAGTCAGATGCAAATGGCTTGGAAAATGCTTCTGAGCCTAGAAAAGAACTGAATTCAGAAAGTAAAAATATACCTTTTTCAAAGAAAATCAACCAGGCCTTGGAACTAATTTGGCTTCATTTTCGAAGTGCCTACACAAATCCGTTGGTGGTACAATGGAGTCTCTGGTATGCTGTTAACTATGCTGGCTATCAGCAGATCACCACCTATATGCAAGTGGCATGGAACTCTTTTGATGACAAGCCAGTTGTAAGTACATTCATCAATTTTGTATTGAAAGAAAGAAATAATTACTTCTTATATTAAAACAGACCATTTGGAACGGAGCTGTAGACGCCGCATTAACTTTCTTAAGTGCTGTTTTTGCAATTCTGGCCGGATATCTTCATGCTGGACGTTTTAAGCCCAAGACCAGTTTAATTGGAATGGCGTTGTTGTCGATTTTGGAGGGCTGTTGTGTACTCCTAACATGCTGGCCAAAGAACATATATTGGTCCTACATTGGTTTTGTGCTTTACGGCGCCATATTTGCTTTTGCTATTACTATGGCTAGGTAGGTCATTCCTTTTTTTGTTTAATAATTAAATTAATTTAAAATTGCAGCTCCGAGTTGGCAAGCAGTTTGGAAGAGGACAGTTTTGCATTGATCTTTGGCTTCAACACCTTTGTGGCCCTCCTCCTGCAGTGCATCTTGACTCTTGTGGTTATATCGGAAACCATAGGCTTGAATCTCAGTGTTTCTCAACAGTACTCCGTGTATGCATTCTATTATATAGTTCTAGGATTTGTATATCTCGTAGCGATTTCGTTACGAGGTGCCTTAACATGCTTGAAGGGTAAAAAACAATCGAAATCAGAAGCATAATTCTCCGTAGAAAGTATAGATTTTAATGAATATTAAGGTTGTTACACAGAGTGGAATATATACATTGTTCAATCTAAATAATAATGAATCTTTTCAAACTTGAATGAGTTTATTTCACAAGGGCTAACTCGTCCAATCAAATGGCTTGTAATAAATACGATTGTTTTTATGGGTGGAGTCCCGCCATGGTTAAATATAGTTAGTCAATCAGCGACTGTATTTTAATAATCAGTTGAGATACGATACGTTTATAGATTTGAAATAGCAGAGCTTTTTTCGCTGCAAGATCCACTTAAGTGGCGCGTTAATAGTCTAATTAGTTGATAATTCGAATGGCCAGCATGGAGTGGGAACCTCGCCGACACCATAGAGCAGCTCAATCAAGATCGTGAACATGCTCGGCACAGGTAAGCGGAAACTTCCCCGGATCACACACCATTCCCTTTGTTCCGTTCCCCGACGTAAATTTCGAAAAGTGCCGAGCTGATTACAAGCGTCGAAGCTAAATCTCTATTCACTGGTCTAACCCCTTGGAAGAATGTGCAATTATTTTAATAGTTGGCCGAAGCTCTCCCCGTTCAAGCCCTGGCGGGTACCGTATAGTAAGTACGCGATTAGAATTTAACTGACAACCGTGGCGGCATGGAGTCTTGGCTGAAGATCTCGTGTGTCCTCTGCATATTCGGATTCCTGCGGGAGCTCCGACCCTCGGAGCCTTACCATGCTGAGATCCTTATGGGGGAGTGGTATCACGTTACTCAGGACGAAGTCAATCGTTTGGTTTACCCTGTGGGAACATACTCCTACCTGGCACTTCTCATCTTTGTCTTTCTGCTAACAGACTTGCTCAGGTGAGTTAAAAAAGAAATGTCATTTTTAGCTTATCAACAAATTAAAAAGCTTTTTTTTATTCTACAACTCTTTAATAACGTTATTGCATTTTATTAACCGACAGATATAAGCCCGTAATCATAGCCAATGCTATCACAGGTATATTTATCTGGAGCACTCTGCTCTGGACTTCCACTCTGGGTGGATTGCAGTCGGTGGAGGTGCTCTATGGCTTCTATCAAGCGGCCGAGGTGGCCTACTATGCGTATATCTACGCGAAAGTGGACAAGCAGTACTATCCCCGGGTAACCTCACACACCCGAGCTGCCATGTTTGTGGGAAAGCTTGTGGCCGGACTGCTAGCGCAGCTACTCATTGGAATGGAGTGGATGAACTTCCGACAGCTCTACTACATTACCGTGAGCTGTGCGTAATTAAAAAAAATTCTTTATTAATATATTTTTCTTAAGACTTACTAAAATTATATTTTCTCAGCACAAGTTGTGGCTTTGCTTTGGGCATTGTGGTTGCCCAAGGTGGAGAAGAGCTTGTACTTCCACAACAAAACAGAAGCCATTGAGGGAGTGTCCAAGACAGAAGTGGGGAGCCTAGAGAAGGGCTCTAATCTGACAAGCGAACCTGAACCTATCACCCCAAAAGGGAGTACCCAGGCCTTGCAGCTCCTCTGGGCGCATTTCCGCGCTGCCTACACCAACTCCCTGGTGATACAATGGAGCTTATGGTATGCCATAAGCTTGGCGGGATTTTTGCAAATCTCTACGTACATGCAAGTACTTTGGAAATCTTTTGAAAATGAGCCAACGGTAAACTTAATAATTGTCATTTAAATAAATTTAAATGTCTGACTCTTTAACAGATTGTTTGGAATGGAGCCGTGGATGCTGCGCTAACTCTTCTAAGTGCTGTCTTTGCACTTCTCGCAGGATACTTCCATGCAGGACGTCTGAGTACCAAGCTTAGTCTATTGTCCATGGCGTTTCTGTCCATCCTTCAAGGCGGATGTGTGTTGCTATCTTGCTGGACCAATAACATATACCTATCCTATCTGGGATATACCCTTTATGGAGGGCTATTTGCCTTTACCATAACTGTAGCCAGGTAGAGCCCTCTATTTTATTATAGTTTTATTCAATAATAATTATTCTTCATGTAATTTCAGCTCGGAGTTGGCTAGCAGCTTGCTCGAGGACAGCTTTGCCTTGGTCTTTGGCTTCAACACCTTTTTGGGCCTACTCCTGCAATGCATCCTGACCTTTGTGGTTGTCTCGGAGAATGCCAACCTCAATCTTAATGTGTTCGAACAGTTTACCGTCTATGCCTTCTATTTTGTAGTTATAGGCTTAGTTTATTTTCTTTTTGTTTCACTCCAATATTTGTGGTCATTCTGCAAAAGGCCAAAGCCTATTCAAGTAAATTAATATTATAACATTAAGACTTTATGTTATAAAATTCCTAGAATATTATAATAAAGTCTAAAAATATATGGTTTTTCCAATCTATGGTTCTAAATAAAACCTGATTGTTTTTCTAAGAATTAGAGAGTTTAGAATTCCGTTTAACAGCGAAAGCTCATTAGACTCGGGGTCAGGGATTAACAACAGAGATAAGCTCTAATCGATTACATTTTTAAGTGTGGAATTCATGGTCCCATTCAACAGTTTTCCATTAGTACATACATACATACATAAGTTTCCCCTTTTTGCATTGTAGTTTTACTACAAAATCTGTAGATTGACTAAATTACCTTTCATGAATATATTCCCGCCACAAATTGAAATGAAAACACACTGGTTTATGTTTATAAATTATAAGTCTTACAAATTGTAATTGTGGATTCAGTTTGCTTACAATATCGAAGCAGCTACTAACACACAAAAAATACCGAATATTTTTTGACGCATTTTCTCCTAAACGCCCTTACAATTCGTCGTGGTCGCTTTGATCTTTGTCTTGTTTAGATTCATCCTTCTCCTCATCATCGTCATCCTCATCCTCATCGTCCTTATCGGCGTTCTTTTTCGCCTCCTCCTCATCCTTCTTCCGCTGGACCTCATCCTGAGCCTCCTTCATCTTCTTTTCGCCAGCCTGGGTGTCCTTGACATCAGACACCACCTTGGCAGCCAGCTCAATGTCGTCCGTGATCAGGACATTGTCGAAGATGGTGCCGGACTTAACCTGCCACAGATCGAAGCCCAGAGTGCAGATCTCCTTGCGCAGGTACAGTTTGTCGTCAGCCACATACTCGGGATTAGCGATCTCGGGATGCTCCCAGGCGCCCTTGTAGTTGGGGTTGTCCAGCTGCTTAGGCTGCCATTCGCCCTTGTATTCGGGGTTGTCGATCATTGGGGGCTCCCACTCGCCGTCCATCTCATCGTCCCAGTCCTCAGGCTTGGTGGCATCGGGGTCGGGGATGTGCTCTGGCTTGTCCCAGTCTTCGGGCTTCTTATCATCGGGGTCGGGAATGGTGGCCTATTTTTGATAATTAGATTAGATATACAAACAAATAAGGTAAGTAATTTGTATTTGATAAACCGGCTTTTTGGTAAATAAACAAAGCGGTAAGCCACCGTAGGAAATTTTCGGGTTTTTCACTTTGCATTGCATTTAAAACGTGTATCTCACCTTGTCATCCCAGTCCTCGGGCTTCTTGGCGTTGGGGTCCTTGATCTTCTTGGGGGCCAGGAAGTCCCAGTCGTCCTCCAAGTTGCCAGACTCAACCTTCTCGTTGTCAATGAGCACCTCGTAGGTGTTATCCGGACGGACAATGAGCGTGTAGAAGTGGGTGTACACGTCATCTTTGCAGCGAATATCTTTGCTGATTAAGTGGTTTTTGCCCTTGTAGCTGAAAATGACGTGGACCTTCTTGGTGCCGGGGCCGCAGATATCGGGACCGAACATGATCTCGTAGGGCGACTCGCCGTGCATGTCAGTCTGGTCCAGAGAGCAGTCGAACAGTTTAACATAGCCGCCACCGCAGTCGATGTTCTGTTCATGCTTCACGGAGAACTGTACCACGAGGGGCTTATCCTCGTTGGAGAATCCGTCGAATTTCCTGCTCACAGCATAGAAGCGGGCGTCCTGAGAAGTCTGGATACCTGCGTTGCCCGAACGAAAGAAAAAAAAATGTATACATTACTATGGCTACTCAAAGTGTACACGTAGTGGTTTCTTTCTACATTTCCATGTAGATAACCACTTTTTACATAGTGAGAGTATGGAAATGTAGAAAATAGCCAAAAAAAAAATAAAAAAAAAGGAAAAAAAAAACCAAAAACCGAATTTATAGAATGACGCATACCTTTGTCAGCCTCAGCATCGTTGTAGAAGGTGCCTGGAGTCAGGACGAACTTGCCAAACTCCTTGCCAGGATGTTTGCTGTATACCCAGTTATCCTCCCAGTTTTCTGTGTAGAAAAAAACGCAAGGAAATCACATGGCGTCCGGGAACCTGAATTAGCCGCAGTTTATTTACCATTATCGAAGTTTTCCTTGAGGTAGACATCGGCACTTATTAAACCGACTGTTGCCAGTAGTAGAATTCCCGTTTTGCACCACATCATGTGAACGCTCCCACTTTATTTTCCGGAATGAAACTACTTGCTTCCCACTTCGGTTAAAGTTAAACGGGTAAATGCCGGCAAGAAAGGTGCTATTTATTTATTGCACTTGAAACGCCTGTGTTAAAGTGGGATGACAAATCTTACAATTTGCCTCGCTGGAACGTTTTCATTGGCCACATGTGGACCAATCAGTTTTGTCTACGTAGGTTTTTGACTCCGATCAGGGTTGATTTTACCAAAAAATCGTTACAGCCCTGGAATTATCGAACGTTTTTTCAGGGAGCGGTGTTGTTTTTTCTGTATGATTAGTGTTGCAAAGCATGAAACGAAATAGTGTTTCACAGCTGGAGTAAACTGGAACTGGAAATGCCGCCAAAGTTTGAATGAATATCATTCCACAACAAAAACATAAAGAAAGCTTTGTGAAGCAGATTCTTGAATTAAACTCCACAAATTTATATTCCCATACAGCTTGTAATGAAAAATCTCTTTATTAATTTATAAAAAAAATAATTCACACTTATTTTAAAAATTGTAACGGAAAAAGATGTACGTCAAATTAGCGTCGCTCAGTTAGCGTCGAAGTGGAACGGTGGAATTGGAACACAGCAACGAATATTTTGTTTTTCAATTATTTCCGTATTTAGCCACTAAATTTAATCAAATAAACAATAGAATTGTTAAGAATTGAATAAACTATTGTTTTTTCTTACTTTGAGCGGGTTCTTCACTCTTTAAGTAGCTTAAAAATGGGGTTGAAAAATTGCCCCTACACTGTATTGAGCATTATCTCAGAAATAAGAGGATGCGCCAATAAGCGCGATACACCAGCTTATAGCCCGTTCTTTTGAGAATATGCCCTGAAAATTTCATTAAAATCGTTCCCTACGTTTTGCAGCAAATCGACTAAAAGTGGACCAACCCGGCTAACAGCCCATACAAAAATGACCCCAAAAAATTGTTTTTAAAATTGTGAAGCTCCAAGAGGATGCGCCAATATGCACGGTAGTGGAGTCGATGTAGGACCTTTTCAAGTATATATGGACCAAAAATCATACAAATCGTTCCCACAGATTTTGAGAAAATCGAATTACAGTTTCCCATATAATTTGAACTAATAAGAGGAGCGCCAACCAGTGAACCGGAACCAGTCCGCAAAAAGTTCATTGAACTAGTTTAAAAATACTATATGGCTCTGTTAGACTTATTAAGTCCTTCACAGAGGATGCGCCATTATGCACGGTATACCGTTGAAAAGCTTATTTTATACAGAACATTAAAAGACAACTTTTATTTAAATCGCTCCCACAGATTTAAAGAAATCAAGTCCCGAAAATTTCAGACCCTGATTCACCAACACTGGCCATTAACAGCATCACATATTTCTGCGCTGCCTAACACGGCGCTAGCCGTTATGGAATTTGAATGCCCCCCTAGCTTTTTTTAAAGAGGATGCGCCATTATGCACGGTATACCACGAGAAAGCTAATTTTTAGCCCGTTCGAATGGTACCAGTGCCATTAAAATCCTTCCCACAGATTTTTAGAAATCAAGTCCCGAAATTTTCGGGACCTGGTTTGCCAATACTGGCCATTATCATTTTTCCGTGTTTGCACGCTGCACAACACGGCAGCCGCCATTATCTATGTTTGCCTTTTTTTAAAGAGGATGCGCCATTATGCACGGTATACCACGAGAAAGCTAATTTTTAGCCCGTTCGAATGGTACCAGTGCCATTAAAATCCTTCCCACAGATTTTTAGAAATCAAGTCCCGAAATTTTCGGGACCTGGTTTGCCAATACTGGCCATTATCATTTTTCCGTGTTTGCACGCTGCACAACACGGCAGCCGCCATTATCTATGTTTGCCTTTTTTAAAGAGGATGCGCCATTATGCACGGTATACCACGAGAAAGCTAATTTTTAGCCCGTTCGAATGGTACCAGTGCCATTAAAATCCTTCCCACAGATTTTTAGAAATCAAGTCCCGAAATTTTCGGGACCTGGTTTGCCAATACTGGCCATTATCATTTTCCCGGGTTTTGACGCTGCACAACACGGCAGCCGCCATTATCTATGTTTGCCTTTTTTAAAGAGGATGCGCCATTATGCACGGTATACCACGAGAAAGCTAATTTTTAGCCCGTTCGAATGGTACCAGTGCCATTAAAATCCTTCCCACAGATTTTTAGAAATCAAGTCCCGAAATTTTCGGGACCTGGTTTGCCAATACTGGCCATTATCATTTTTCCGTGTTTGCACGCTGCACAACACGGCAGCCGCCATTATCTATGTTTGCCTTTTTTTAAAGAGGATGCGCCATTATGCACGGTATACCACGAGAAAGCTAATTTTTAGCCCGTTCGAATGGTACCAGTGCCATTAAAATCCTTCCCACAGATTTTTAGAAATCAAGTCCCGAAATTTTCGGGACCTGGTTTGCCAATACTGGCCATTATCATTTTTCCGTGTTTGCACGCTGCACAACACGGCAGCCGCCATTATCTATGTTTGCCTTTTTTTAAAGAGGATGCGCCATTATGCACGGTATACCACGAGAAAGCTAATTTTTAGCCCGTTCGAATGGTACCAGTGCCATTAAAATCCTTCCCACAGATTTTTAGAAATCAAGTCCCGAAATTTTCGGGACCTGGTTTGCCAATACTGGCCATTATCATTTTTCCGTGTTTGCACGCTGCACAACACGGCAGCCGCCATTATCTATGTTTGCCTTTTTTAAAGAGGATGCGCCATTATGCACGGTATACCACGAGAAAGCTAATTTTTAGCCCGTTCGAATGGTACCAGTGCCATTAAAATCCTTCCCACAGATTTTTAGAAATCAAGTCCCGAAATTTTCGGGACCTGGTTTGCCAATACTGGCCATTATCATTTTCCCGGGTTTTGACGCTGCACAACACGGCAGCCGCCATTATCTATGTTTGCCTTTTTTTAAAGAGGATGCGCCATTATGCACGGTATACCACGAGAAAGCTAATTTTTAGCCCGTTCGAATGGTACCAGTGCCATTAAAATCCTTCCCACAGATTTTTAGAAATCAAGTCCCGAAATTTTCGGGACCTGGTTTGCCAATACTGGCCATTATCATTTTTCCGTGTTTGCACGCTGCACAACACGGCAGCCGCCATTATCTATGTTTGCCTTTTTTAAAGAGGATGCGCCATTATGCACGGTATACCACGAGAAAGCTAATTTTTAGCCCGTTCGAATGGTACCAGTGCCATTAAAATCCTTCCCACAGATTTTTAGAAATCAAGTCCCGAAATTTTCGGGACCTGGTTTGCCAATACTGGCCATTATCATTTTTCCGTGTTTGCACGCTGCACAACACGGCAGCCGCCATTATCTATGTTTGCCTTTTTTTAAAGAGGATGCGCCATTATGCACGGTATACCACGAGAAAGCTAATTTTTAGCCCGTTCGAATGGTACCAGTGCCATTAAAATCCTTCCCACAGATTTTTAGAAATCAAGTCCCGAAATTTTCGGGACCTGGTTTGCCAATACTGGCCATTATCATTTTCCCGGGTTTTGACGCTGCACAACACGGCAGCCGCCATTATCTATGTTTGCCTTTTTTAAAGAGGATGCGCCATTATGCACGGTATACCACGAGAAAGCTAATTTTTAGCCCGTTCGAATGGTACCAGTGCCATTAAAATCCTTCCCACAGATTTTTAGAAATCAAGTCCCGAAATTTTCGGGACCTGGTTTGCCAATACTGGCCATTATCATTTTCCCGGGTTTTGACGCTGCACAACACGGCAGCCGCCATTATCTATGTTTGCCTTTTTTTAAAGAGGATGCGCCATTATGCACGGTATACCACGAGAAAGCTAATTTTTAGCCCGTTCGAATGGTACCAGTGCCATTAAAATCCTTCCCACAGATTTTTAGAAATCAAGTCCCGAAATTTTCGGGACCTGGTTTGCCAATACTGGCCATTATCATTTTCCCGGGTTTTGACGCTGCACAACACGGCAGCCGCCATTATCTATGTTTGCCTTTTTTTAAAGAGGATGCGCCATTATGCACGGTATACCACGAGAAAGCTAATTTTTAGCCCGTTCGAATGGTACCAGTGCCATTAAAATCCTTCCCACAGATTTTTAGAAATCAAGTCCCGAAATTTTCGGGACCTGGTTTGCCAATACTGGCTATTATCATTTTTCCGTGTTTGCACGCTGCACAACACGGCAGCCGCCATTATCTATGTTTGCCTTTTTTAAAGAGGATGCGCCATTATGCACGGTATACCACGAGAAAGCTAATTTTTAGCCCGTTCGAATGGTACCAGTGCCATTAAAATCCTTCCCACAGATTTTTAGAAATCAAGTCCCGAAATTTTCGGGACCTGGTTTGCCAATACTGGCCATTATCATTTTTCCGTGTTTGCACGCTGCACAACACGGCAGCCGCCATTATCTATGTTTGCCTTTTTTTAAAGAGGATGCGCCATTATGCACGGTATACCACGAGAAAGCTAATTTTTAGCCCGTTCGAATGGTACCAGTGCCATTAAAATCCTTCCCACAGATTTTTAGAAATCAAGTCCCGAAATTTTCGGGACCTGGTTTGCCAATACTGGCCATTATCATTTTTCCGTGTTTGCACGCTGCACAACACGGCAGCCGCCATTATCTATGTTTGCCTTTTTTAAAGAGGATGCGCCATTATGCACGGTATACCACGAGAAAGCTAATTTTTAGCCCGTTCGAATGGTACCAGTGCCATTAAAATCCTTCCCACAGATTTTTAGAAATCAAGTCCCGAAATTTTCGGGACCTGGTTTGCCAATACTGGCCATTATCATTTTCCCGGGTTTTGACGCTGCACAACACGGCAGCCGCCATTATCTATGTTTGCCTTTTTTTAAAGAGGATGCGCCATTATGCACGGTATACCACGAGAAAGCTAATTTTTAGCCCGTTCGAATGGTACCAGTGCCATTAAAATCCTTCCCACAGATTTTTAGAAATCAAGTCCCGAAATTTTCGGGACCTGGTTTGCCAATACTGGCCATTATCATTTTTCCGTGTTTGCACGCTGCACAACACGGCAGCCGCCATTATCTATGTTTGCCTTTTTTTAAAGAGGATGCGCCATTATGCACGGTATACCACGAGAAAGCTAATTTTTAGCCCGTTCGAATGGTACCAGTGCCATTAAAATCCTTCCCACAGATTTTTAGAAATCAAGTCCCGAAATTTTCGGGACCTGGTTTGCCAATACTGGCCATTATCATTTTTCCGTGTTTGCACGCTGCACAACACGGCAGCCGCCATTATCTATGTTTGCCTTTTTTTAAAGAGGATGCGCCATTATGCACGGTATACCACGAGAAAGCTAATTTTTAGCCCGTTCGAATGGTACCAGTGCCATTAAAATCCTTCCCACAGATTTTTAGAAATCAAGTCCCGAAATTTTCGGGACCTGGTTTGCCAATACTGGCCATTATCATTTTCCCGGGTTTTGACGCTGCACAACACGGCAGCCGCCATTATCTATGTTTGCCCTTTTTTTTAAAGAGGATGCGCCATTATGCACGGTATACCACGAGAAAGCTAATTTTTAGCCCGTTCGAATGGTACCAGTGCCATTAAAATCCTTCCCACAGATTTTTAGAAATCAAGTCCCGAAATTTTCGGGACCTGGTTTGCCAATACTGGCCATTATCATTTTCCCGGGTTTTGACGCTGCACAACACGGCAGCCGCCATTATCTATGTTTGCCTTTTTTTAAAGAGGATGCGCCATTATGCACGGTATACCACGAGAAAGCTAATTTTTAGCCCGTTCGAATGGTACCAGTGCCATTAAAATCCTTCCCACAGATTTTTAGAAATCAAGTCCCGAAATTTTCGGGACCTGGTTTGCCAATACTGGCCATTATCATTTTTCCGGGTTTTGACGCTGCACAACACGGCAGCCGCCATTATCTATGTTTGCCTTTTTTTAAAGAGGATGCGCCATTATGCACGGTATACCACGAGAAAGCTAATTTTTAGCCCGTTCGAATGGTACCAGTGCCATTAAAATCCTTCCCACAGATTTTTAGAAATCAAGTCCCGAAATTTTCGGGACCTGGTTTGCCAATACTGGCTATTATCATTTTTCCGTGTTTGCACGCTGCACAACACGGCAGCCGCCATTATCTATGTTTGCCTTTTTTAAAGAGGATGCGCCATTATGCACGGTATACCACGAGAAAGCTAATTTTTAGCCCGTTCGAATGGTACCAGTGCCATTAAAATCCTTCCCACAGATTTTTAGAAATCAAGTCCCGAAATTTTCGGGACCTGGTTTGCCAATACTGGCCATTATCATTTTTCCGTGTTTGCACGCTGCACAACACGGCAGCCGCCATTATCTATGTTTGCCTTTTTTTAAAGAGGATGCGCCATTATGCACGGTATACCACGAGAAAGCTAATTTTTAGCCCGTTCGAATGGTACCAGTGCCATTAAAATCCTTCCCACAGATTTTTAGAAATCAAGTCCCGAAATTTTCGGGACCTGGTTTGCCAATACTGGCCATTATCATTTTTCCGTGTTTGCACGCTGCACAACACTTATGGCGCCATTAAAAAAAGAGCTCATGTACGTACATACATACATACATATATAGAAAACACATGGCAGCATACATACATATATAGAAAACACATGGCAGCATACATACATATAGAAGTTTCTATATATGTATGTATGTATGTACGTACATGAGCTCTTTTTTTAATGGCGCCATAAGTGTTGTGCAGCGTGCAAACACGGAAAAATGATAATGGCCAGTATTGGCAAACCAGGTCCCGAAAATTTCGGGACTTGATTTCTAAAAATCTGTGGGAAGGATTTTAATGGCACTGGTACCATTCGAACGGGCTAAAAATTAGCTTTCTCGTGGTATACCGTGCATAATGGCGCATCCTCTTTAAAAAAAGGCAAACATAGATAATGGCGGCTGCCGTGTTGTGCAGCGTGCAAACACGGAAAAATGATAATGGCCAGTATTGGCAAACCAGGTCCCGAAAATTTCGGGACTTGATTTCTAAAAATCTGTGGGAAGGATTTTAATGGCACTGGTACCATTCGAACGGGCTAAAAATTAGCTTTCTCGTGGTATACCGTGCATAATGGCGCATCCTCTTTAAAAAAAGCTAGGGGGGCATTCAAATTCCATAACGGCTAGCGCCGTGTTAGGCAGCGCAGAAATATGTGATGCTGTTAATGGCCAGTGTTGGTGAATCAGGGTCTGAAATTTTCGGGACTTGATTTCTTTAAATCTGTGGGAGCGATTTAAATAAAAGTTGTCTTTTAATGTTCTGTATAAAATAAGCTTTTCAACGGTATACCGTGCATAATGGCGCATCCTCTGTGAAGGACTTAATAAGTCTAACAGAGCCATATAGTATTTTTAAACTAGTTCAATGAACTTTTTGCGGACTGGTTCCGGTTCACTGGTTGGCGCTCCTCTTATTAGTTCAAATTATATGGGAAACTGTAATTCGATTTTCTCAAAATCTGTGGGAACGATTTGTATGATTTTTGGTCCATATATACTTGAAAAGGTCCTACATCGACTCCACTACCGTGCATATTGGCGCATCCTCTTGGAGCTTCACAATTTTAAAAACAATTTTTTGGGGTCATTTTTGTATGGGCTGTTAGCCGGGTTGGTCCACTTTTAGTCGATTTGCTGCAAAACGTAGGGAACGATTTTAATGAAATTTTCAGGGCATATTCTCAAAAGAACGGGCTATAAGCTGGTGTATCGCGCTTATTGGCGCATCCTCTTATTTCTGAGATAATGCTCAATACAGTGTAGGGGCAATTTTTCAACCCCATTTTTAAGCTACTTAAAGAGTGAAGAACCCGCTCAAAGTAAGAAAAAACAATAGTTTATTCAATTCTTAACAATTCTATTGTTTATTTGATTAAATTTAGTGGCTAAATACGGAAATAATTGAAAAACAAAATATTCGTTGCTGTGTTCCAATTCCACCGTTCCACTTCGACGCTAACTGAGCGACGCTAATTTGACGTACATTATTATTATATAATATTTTTTTTATATACATACTATATGCTATTAATATAAAGCCAACCCATATTGTTTAGATTTTTTCAAGTGTAAAGGGAAATGAAAATCCGTCCAGGTATTTTCCGCACCCCAGGCCACCCTTATTTATTTCTACTTTTTCGTTACCTACACCAGTCATTAACTTTTTACGACTGTTTGATCCTGGCTCCCAAGCCACAGACAAATGTATCAAAATTCAAATTGAATCCAAATATTTGCGGTGGCAGTAAGCAGCTCTAATTTTTGGCTCGCAATTCGGTTAGACCAATACATAAAACGTTCAGAGCCGCCATTGAGGGCAACATCGAATTTCATATCCCCAGGGAAATACATATTTTTCCCTTCGACAAGCAAACTTTATGCATTTGCAGCAAGGCGGCGCTGGCGGGGCGGAAGAAAAATTTAAATGCGCCATATTGCAAGCTCAAATGAAATTTTGTGGCTTGTTGCAAAACAAAAAGCTGCAGGAAAAAAAAACAATGTAAATAACGGTGAAAAAAATGAAAAGCTGGGCCAGTGCCTGTAACACAATACTCATGCACACGCGGTGGCATTGTGGCTCGGGATCGGTGTTGTCTTTTATCGTTCGTCCTTCGTCCGCTGCATGCGGTCGCTCAATATGAAAGTGCATACTCTAAAGAATCAGCGATGAACCTAAAAATGTGATACAGTAGACCATTATAAAATACACATTATTTATTTAAATACTTGGACTCCTACGAGTTCTTAAACAACATATGTATGTTTCTGAGACTTTTGCAATTTAAGTTAGATTTAAGGGATGTTATAAATATTATACATTATTACAACATTTTTGAGTGTATAAGTCCAAGAATAGAAACAAAAAGTAGGCGGATGAAAGCGGGAGTGTCAGATGGTCTGCGGTCGGTTTGCGCTAAATTAAATTTCGCCGCTGCTGCACCAAAAGTCCAGAGCTTTTGCAACACCAAGCACTCGCCAACACGAGTACAAATATACATACAAACATACGAGCTCAAATACAAATTACAGTTGCGCTAAAATACATACATACATATATAAAAAGTGAAAACCCCAAAGCATCCTGCCTCCAAAAGCAATATCTACAGGACTCCCGAAAATATGAGACGAAATTTAATTTCCCAGTTTCGTATATTTCAACTCTACGTCGCCATTGAGGAATATTCCCATTCCCGTATCCGCGCCCAGGGGCACCTTTTTCGTCTGCTCCACCAGGTAGTTTGAGATTATGTTTAGTATGGCGGTTTTAACAGTGAGTTGTCCAACACGCATACCTAGGATTTTATATTGTTAGTGGCCTACACAATTTATTGATGTAATAATTAAAAGAAACATACCCAAGCAAATACGAGGACCATCGCCAAAGGGCAAGAACATTCCACGCTTATTGAAAACACTTGCGGCCCCATCCGCAAACCTCTCGGGGCGGAACTCGCTTGCTGCCGGGTAGAAGGCATCATCGTGATGGTACTGATAAGCGGGCACCATTACGCTGATGCCAGGCTCCAAGTTGATGGAGTTCCCGTTTCCCAAATCTATCTGAACGTCCTTGGTGCAGATTCGCATGAAGAAGCCGATAGGTGTGACAAGGCGCAGAGACTCTGAAATAAAAGAAGTTTCTCAAATATTCCGAATCCAGTCCGGGTTTCCTAATTCGAGCCATTTACCATTGAAGCACTGGTCCAGATAGGGCAGAGAATTAATCTGCTCGTAGCTGATACTCTCATTGAGGGCCAGGGCTTCTAAAATTTCCGAGCGCAGCTTTTCCTGCTCTTCAATGTTCTCGCTGAGCTGATAAGAGCAATACGCTATTAATGGTTACACTGATCCGCATATAATGAAATTAACTGACCGAATATAACATGTGATAGAGCACTGCTCCGGATGTTTCGTATCCGTCCAGGTGGACCGTGAGAGCATGGCCCACAGAGTCGTGGATGGTATTGCCGCGTTGCTGTAACTGAATCAAGTGGGACAGGTAATCCGAGCGGCCTTCGCCGCTGCCACTTTGCCGCAGCTTCACTGCGTCCTGGGTCAGCTGTAGGAAGAACTCATCCGTAGTCTTGAGAAAGAATCGCATTCCTAAAAAATTGCGCAGGAACGGTGCCACCAGGGACTTGTTGAACTTCATTATAGAGCTGAAAGCACTCGCTGTCCAGTCTGTGGAGGTTTTCTGAAACACTGCCTCCTCTCCGACTTTTCCACTTAGTGAGTTGGCGTCAATGCCCCAGATGAAGTCGGCCATGGTAGTGGCCGTGAAGCGATAGGCCAGCTAATAATAAAAAACCTTGTCTTTATTTTTTTTTTGATTATTTTGTACTCACATCTCTGGTCTCGATAACGTCGCCCTTCTCCTGCCTAGCCCGTTCAATGTATTCGACTAGCCTACGACCACTCTGCTCCCAAATTTTGTAGGCCATCCTCAGTCGGTTGGGCGTTAGTCCTGCCCCATTTTCGGTGCGCAGCCGCTTCCACTCCTCGCCAGTGGTGAAGAACGGGGATCTTCTCACGTACTTGTCATCCGGATTGTGGCCCACGAAACTGCTGGTAATCGTGTCCCGGAAGTGGCTGAACTTATCCACCAGGATCTCATGGGCCAAAGCTGGATCCAAAATCAACAGTTGAGGTTGCCTGGTAATGAAGGTGCCTACTGCGCGGTACTTGCCTTTGTACTTGCTGAAATAACATAGATCTTCTCTGAATCTCAGGGAAATACATTTGATTTGAGTTCTATCCAACCATGTTTGATTTATGAACGTACTTCTACAAACTTTTCGATTCTTAAAAAGAAAAACAGATCCCTCCAAATGCTGTGTCCAAAGCCCTCCGTCCCCAATCCTGTCCTGAGGTATTTCTTCTAAGCCAAAAACTGCCCTATGTAGCAGGTTACAAGTACCACGGGGCTTATTTAAACAATCGGCTAAACTTCCGAACACACATAGTATCCATTACAAAGGCCAAAGCTGAAGAAACTAAGACGGCTTCTTAATAGTCGGAACAAGTTATCCCTACGAAACAAGCTTTTAATATACAAAGCGGTAATTGCTCCCTCATAGCATTATGGACTGCTATTCGGCATTCCATCAAAATCTAATTTGGAAAATATTCGAATTATTCAAACCAAAAACCTGAGGCCATGGTACAAGCGCAGAGCGAACTTGAAAAAGGACCTGATGGTGCACAAAGTAGGGTATGCTTTAAAAGATCAGGCCACTCAAATTTACTAGTCAAGCACCTACTAAACGAGCTCAACATTGCATGTATAATGGTACCTATTAATTTAAGTTGTTTTATAATGAAAGAATAATAAATAAAAAAAATAATAAAAAATAAATAAACTTTTGACCATCCTCACCATTTCACCTTTTCAAACCTTTAAAATAACTTAAACAAGGAAGAACAGCTAATCTTTAAAAGTTACCCTTTTACTTAATTGACCATATTTATGGGTGGCAGGTATGGTCTACTTAAGGGACCGAAAAATACCCGGGTGTTTCGCCTGCAAAAAATCCTTGTGATCTAGGACTACCGGGTATAAAAATAATACCTAATAAAATTTTATCATCTGACCCAACTTTCGGGAAAGATATGAGCACTTATAAACAGCTTTTATTTATTGAATGATTATAAACCGAAACTAATGTATATTTTACAGATTCTTACTAAATTTTCGATGACAAAACGAAGTAAAAAAATGGACACTTACTCGTACACATCCTGAACGTCTAGAATGAAACTGCGACTCTTGTTGACTAGGATTCCAGGATAAGTTCCCAAAATAGTTAAAGGTTCAGCGGTCAAAGCCCCCCGCTTTTCCCAATACTTGTGATACCAGGTCAAGTATATATAGACAACGGCGAAGGAAACATGAATGAAGGCCAAAAGCACAGCCACTGCAGTCCACATTGTTGGTCAAAAGTGATCGATCAGTCCCCCACCGAGTTCTGTTAGCTACTGCCAGTAAGTGTGTTTGGTAAGGCCTATCAAAGCTCCCAAGAGAATAAAATACATTGTACACCTCTCTCTTAATAATCTTAACCTTACACCAGTACAATCTGTTTTATAAGTTTTTAATTTTCGTTCAACTCTCGAATGTGATAAGATTATATTTTCTTGCTGGTGTTGTTTGTTGGAGAGGTAAGTATTGTGGTTGTGATTTCCAAGCAATCTATGCATTCGACTGGCTTATCATTCATGTTGTTTATTTCAAATAGCGAATTATTTATTTCCAAACATATGTATATATTTTTATTTCATCAGGAATCGTAATGATAATATAAAACATTATTGATGGTCCTCATCGGAAAACTCGTCGATATTCCAAATTGATGTCCCCTTGTAGTACAACGCCGAAACCTGAGTCTCCCCTGGGGATCAATCGCTCTGTTTTCCGCACCACATAAAAGTTGCATATAATATAAAACAGTGCGGATTTTAATGTCAATAGAGCCAGCCGAATCCCTAGAAAGGTTTAAAGGAAAAAAAGAACGGAAAAAATATGGTTATCATATTAACGATTATACTCTTTAAAGTATACTTTATTTATTTACCCATACAAACACGGGGGCCATCACTGAAGGGCAGGAATATTCCTTTTCGCATGAGCTCCTGATAAGCCCCGTTATCAAATCGTTCTGGTCTAAAGTCTTCGGGGTCGGAAAAATATTTTTCGTCATGATGGAACTGATAATTGGGTATCATGATCGTAATGCCCTTCTCCACTCGGATATTTTTGAGCTCGCTTAGCTTAATATCCGTGGAAGTTGTGCAAACTTTCGTGTATTGTGGTATCAAGCTGCTAAGTCGAAGGGATTCTAGTAATAAATATAAAATATATAGTCACTTAAAACAAGAAAGGAAAGCTAACTTCGGGCATAGCCGAGTTTCTATTGACATACATACTACATATATACTGAAAATATCGGATGTATTTTCACAGATGGGTGATGGGTACGATGCAGCATACCAAATAAGAAATATTGCTCAGATATGAAGACAAGCAATACCAAAATGAGTCATTATAAACCATTGTAGATCGAACATCACCTCGAGGGGTGTTGCAGGATCTTGCATGGAATAGAGGACTACAATTTGAGGTTCTTTTGTAAAGAACGTTTTATTTTAGGCCTCTTAATAAAGACTGTATACATTTTGAATTTGCTTTCCTCTTCTTGCCAACCAAATTTAATTGAAATAAATTTAAATAATAAATTAGGTAAACAACTGACCATAGACGACTTGCTCTAAATAGGGTAGGCCGCAAAGTTTGTCAAAATCGATGCTCTTTTCTTCATCCAAGCTAGAAAAGATTTCCGTGCGCAGCTTTTGTTGAGCTGCAGGACTTTCCGCCAACTAAAGAGTGTATTTAATATGAAAAGTATAATAATTCCTATCGGAAGTCAATGCAACCACATACGTAATACAGTGCATGAAGGAGGGCCGTTCCGGTAGTGTCGTAACCATCGAGCAGAACCGTCAGAGCGTGACCTACCAGATCGTCGTGGGTGGCCTGTTTCTGCTCACGAAGTTGGAGTAAATGGGAGAGATAATCCGTTCGGCTGGAGTTTTTACCACTTTTCAGGCGCATTTCTATTGACTCCTTGGTCAAGTTCGAGAAAAACTCTTCCGTGTCTTTGGGGTAGAAGCGGAATTTCAACAGCAGGCGAATCCCTGGAGCTACTATGGTGGCCATGAACCACGAAATCATATAGAAGGCGTAGCTGGTCCATCTGGTAGCCATATATTGGATCTTGTTTGGCTGCTCGGGTCGGGTAAACGTGCCAGCATCGATGCCCCAAATGAAGTCAGCCATCACATGAGCCGTGTAACGAAAGCAGAGCTACGAAAAAAAGACACGAATTTTCAATTTGTTGAATTTGTATACTCGGTACTCCTAGAGTACAAGGGGATATTGTAGTCGTGGCAATGTATGTAACATAGAGAAGGACCCCATAAAGTATATGTATATATTCTTGATCAGCATCAACTGCCGAGTCGATATAGCCATGCCATATATCATGGAGATTCCTATAATGCTGTAATGATGGGAAACTAGTTTATAGCGTCCTTTCTTGTTAAATTGTCATTTTGGTAAATACTCAAAAAATCATTTTGAATAACTTTTTAAACAATAATGAGTCTATTTGAAACAATAATCATGTTCAAACACAATTTCTTAGTTTGGTTTATTTTCTATATAGGACTTTATTTTGGATCAAAGTGCCCTAAACATCAGTTAGTCACTCAGTTTTAAAGCTATCGACTTGGAACTTTGCACACTCCCTTCCTTTCTGGACGGATAATGGCGGCTGCCGTGTTGTGCAGCGTCAAAACCCGGGAAAATGATAATGGCCAGTATTGGCAAACCAGGTCCCGAAAATTTCGGGACTTGATTTCTAAAAATCTGTGGGAAGGATTTTAATGGCACTGATACCATTCGAACGGGCTAAAAATTAGCTTTCTCGTGGTATACCGTGCATAATGGCGCATCCTCTTTAAAAAAAGGCAAACATAGATAATGGCGGCTGCCGTGTTGTGCAGCGTGCAAACACGGAAAAATGATAATGGCCAGTATTGGCAAACCAGGTCCCGAAAATTTCGGGACTTGATTTCTAAAAATCTGTGGGAAGGATTTTAATGGCACTGGTACCATTCGAACGGGCTAAAAATTAGCTTTCTCGTGGTATACCGTGCATAATGGCGCATCCTCTTTAAAAAAAGCTAGGGGGGCATTCAAATTCCATAACGGCTAGCGCCGTGTTAGGCAGCGCAGAAATATGTGATGCTGTTAATGGCCAGTGTTGGTGAATCAGGGTCTGAAATTTTCGGGACTTGATTTCTTTAAATCTGTGGGAGCGATTTAAATAAAAGTTGTCTTTTAATGTTCTGTATAAAATAAGCTTTTCAACGGTATACCGTGCATAATGGCGCATCCTCTGTGAAGGACTTAATAAGTCTAACAGAGCCATATAGTATTTTTAAACTAGTTCAATGAACTTTTTGCGGACTGGTTCCGGTTCACTGGTTGGCGCTCCTCTTATTAGTTCAAATTATATGGGAAACTGTAATTCGATTTTCTCAAAATCTGTGGGAACGATTTGTATGATTTTTGGTCCATATATACTTGAAAAGGTCCTACATCGACTCCACTACCGTGCATATTGGCGCATCCTCTTGGAGCTTCACAATTTTAAAAACAATTTTTGGGGTCATTTTTGTATGGGCTGTTAGCCGGGTTGGTCCACTTTTAGTCGATTTGCTGCAAAACGTAGGGAACGATTTTAATGAAATTTTCAGGGCATATTCTCAAAAGAACGGGCTATAAGCTGGTGTATCGCGCTTATTGGCGCATCCTCTTATTTCTGAGATAATGCTCAATACAGTGTAGGGGCAATTTTTCAACCCCATTTTTAAGCTACTTAAAGAGTGAAGAACCCGCTCAAAGTAAGAAAAAACAATAGTTTATTCAATTCTTAACAATTCTATTGTTTATTTGATTAAATTTAGTGGCTAAAAAAGGAAAAAAAAAAAAAAAAAAAAATTTTTTTTTTTTTTTTAAAAAAAACCTTTAAATTAAAAAAAAAAAAAAAAAAAAAAAAATAAAAAAAAAAAAAAAAAAGTTGTATAAAGGGTTCTAGTATATTGACGGGAACGTCTTGAAGGTATTTTTTAAGACCTAGCTTTCTTAAAACCTACGGTACCTTTAAACTAATCCCACGTGTTGAGTCGGTCTTATCAATGCCGATTGATACTGTTTGGCATTAAACCAATGGATTCCCTTAACAACGGATGGTTCAGCGAACTGCAGGCCGACCTATGGCCTGGACAGTCCTTCTCCTTGAAAGTAAAGGAAGTAATTCACAAAGAGAAGTCAAAGTTTCAGGACATTCAAATCGTCGAAACGTAAGTCCAACAAAAACATAGTTTTGTATACATAGTATACTTGTTTACATCAACAATTCGAATGCCTGGAGTTTCGTTATAGATAAGAGAATTCATATTACAGGCTTTATAGTGATTTTAAAGACCTTTGGAATGTTTTTGCGCAATTTTACTATTCATTTAGTATTCTAAATGACGTAAAATAAAATTTTTAATACAAAAAAAGATTTTTATAAAAGATTCAACAAGTTTTCCAAAGATCTGATTTTCCTTAATAATGTTTTATAAAATTTATAACTGATTAAAACTATAAAAATGTCCATGGCAACTGAATTTTTCCTACCCTTTCGGTTCATATTCTTGATCTGCACCAACATTATTATCGATCGAGCCATCTAAGGCCAATGATACGTCTGCGTTCCCGTATGAACAGCTTACGCCAACAAAAAAAAAATAACTGATAGCGAAGCTAAATTTGATATTCTTGTGCCGAAGGGTATTGTTATTATGATAATGCTCAGATTTTTCAAAAGCCATTCGTCTGTTCAGTAAAGAATCTGTCGAAGGTTATCAGTAAATAAATTATAGGGGAAGTACAGCATAAAATTTCGAATATTGTTAAACTTTTTTTTTAATTTTTTTGGCAATAACTTTTATAAAAAACAACCTTTCCTTACAGAGAGACATACGGAAGATGCCTGATTTTGGATGGAATTATACAGTGTACTGCCCGAGATGAGTTCTCATACCAGGAAATGATATCCTTCCTGCCTCTCTGCGCCCACCCGAATCCCAAAAAGGTACTCATTGTAGGCGGTGGAGACGGAGGCGTGGCACGCGAAGTGGTGAAGCATCCTTTGGTCCAGGAAGTCCATCAAGTGGAGATCGACGACCGTGTGGTGGAGCTTTCTAAGCAATATTTACCAGCTATGGCGTGCGGATTCGAAAACGAAAAGTTAAAGCTAACCATTGGAGACGGCTTCGACTATATGAAAAATCATAAGAACGAATTTGATGTTATCATCACCGACAGCTCGGACCCCATCGGTCCGGCAGTGAGTTTGTTCCAAGAGAGCTACTACGAGTTAATGAAGCACGCTCTGAAAGAAGATGGCATCGTGTGCTCCCAGGGTGGAAGTTTCTGGCTCGACCTCGACTATATAAAGAAAACCATGTCCGGGTGCAAGGAACACTTTGCTAAAGTAGCTTATGCTGTTACCTCGGTGCCTTCTTATCCTTGTGGCCACATTGGCTTTGTCATGGGCTCTCTTAACAAAAGCCAAGACTTTGTAACTCCTAAACTGGGAAGCTCTGAGATTAATGCCTTAGATTTAAAATACTACTCCTCAGAGATTCATTCGGCGGCCTTTGCCCTGCCTCGTTGGGTTCAAAACCATTTTTACAATTGACTATGCGATATACATATACGTAAACTTTTGTTACAAAATAAAAATCATAAAATATATTTAGTTTCTTTAAGCTTTAGAGGAACAGAGGGAGTCACGTATGCCGTAAACGTACCCCCGAAAAAGTGTCTCTGACCGAACTCCAAGATTTAATAGCAAGAACTAAATACTAAGTCGGGTGGAGATAACGATAATCAGCATGGAACTGATGCTGAACAAGCTTAGGCGAGCAGATCCTCCGCCTCCGTCATTGCCATCACCTCCATTATCTCCCGGAGTTGTGTTTTCCTCATTGTCCAGCTGGATGATGAGTCATATTAGTTTTATTTTCAGAAGAGTATTTATTGTCTGACTTACAGAAGCATACAGTTTGGCGCGAAGCTCCTCGCATCGTCCTGTCTGAGTGTTAACGGTTACAGCAGCTCGGCACAAAGATGCTGCCAAGCAGGTGCGATCGCAGCCATCTTTAAGGTAGGGATCTCCCTGAGTAACTCGGAAGCGCCAGTACTATAGGAAAATAAGGTTTTTATCTTACCTCGAAATTGGATCTTAACCTACCTTCCTCATAAGATCCGGATTTTCAGCGAATTCATCCAGCAGCTTGTCAATTCCCGCAGGACTCGTGTCCTCAGTGAATTCATTGATGAACTGATATTCCTCAAACCACTCGGGCTGACTATTAGGATTTAGATTAGCTTCCGTCAGATTGAAAAGCCACGTGTGGTGATTTGTCACCACAAAGGATTCTGGGTTCACATCGTAAATCCTATAGTTGGGGTTCTTGTTTGAGCGAGTGGTTAGGGCTCCTCCTGTCCAGGCCACAGCGGTGGCATGCCCTTCATCAGAGTAATGAACGAACATTTCGTCCTTGTGGGTATCGCCGGTAAAGATGCCACTAATTGTTGCACTGAAGCGGGTTATGCATCGATTTAGCTCACGAGCCCACACGGACCAGCAGCTTCCGACGCCAGAGGGAATGTGGGTGATCACGTGGACAAATTCCCCGGCTTTCTCGGCGGCGAGAAGTGTGTCGTGGAACCACTGAAGCTGGGGAATCTTGTCAGACCCACTATGATACAGCCAGAAGTTATCCGTAGAACAGTCGTTGCTATTTAAAGCAACGATGCGGAATCCCTTTTTGGGAGAAACAGTATAATAGCCTCCCTTGAGTATTGTTTCCTTGGTCTCCTCGGGCAGCCACTTCGACCAGTCGTTGTACAGATGCTCATATAGCCACTTGGTGCTAACTGCATCCGGCACACCTTCGGGACTAAATCTGTAGTTTTAAAAAAAAGCGAATATTGTATGTTTTAAAACATAATTAAATAAAAACATTGATGATGGACTCTTACAGATTGAAAGGATGTGGCTCATGGTTGCCAATGCAGGGATAGACTGGCACATCTCCAAATGCCTGCTTCAGTCGGTCGTTCACTTTGCTCAGCACTTCGCTGTTCTTTTCCACCGAGGTGGCCCATCCCATGTGATCCACAACATCACCAGTCTGATAGACGTAGTCACACTTGTGGTTTTTCACCACATTGTCTAAGGCGGATTCAAAGGAATGCCATGGCAGATCGCATCCCCTGTAGTCGCCCCAGTATCCAGCCGCATCGCGTGTGCCCTCCGCCGTGTCCTTGTGCCTTTGGCAGCACATGGGCTCTGCACAGGTGGCCAGACTCCCTGGTAGGTACAAGGGATCGTAGTGGATATCGGAGAAGTGGCAGATCTTAAGATCCGATTCACTATAGCGATCGGTGTCTGACTTGGAACTGGTCAAGCTCGGAACTGAGTTGTCCACAGTAAGGATCCAGTTGTAGTCCTGGTTGGTGCCAGTGCTGCAGAAACTATACTCCATGAAAAGAGAACAGAAGGTCTGGGAATCGCTCTCGGAATTTCTTAGGATGTAGTCCACGGATGGCTGGTAGGAATCGATCAGACCCTCGCAAACCTCATCGGTCTGAAGATTCATTCTTTGGCAGAAGTCTGTGGCAAAGTCCTTCATCAGAGTGGAGCTGCCTTCTCCATGGAGCTCTCCCTCCTCATCGCGAATGGTCCTAATGAGGACTCGAATTACAGAGCGACAGGCTACGCACACAAAAAAGCTGTCCCTCGACTCCAAATCGGCCATATTCCTGGTGAAAATATCCTTTTGGCTGTGCGACTTGGCCAGTTGTTGGGTGAGTTTCTTGAAGGCTGCCGTCTCAACTCCGGTTTTCAAATAGGTGACATACTCCTGGGCCAGGCGCTCAGATATGTCATCAGCAATGGCGGAGAGCACTTTATCATCCACCTCAAAATCTATAGGCACTCCAGGCAAATATGCAGCGGACGCCACAAGTCCCCCGGAGAGGAAGCCGAGCGCCAAAAAAATCACTGTTCCCTTCATGGTTCGCACGGCAACTGTTGTGGAACTTTGCCAGGTGGAGGCACTTATAGCCTTTGCTTATCTTCCCAACAGCTGGCCAGTATATTGACAAGGTGGACCCAAGCTGAGATTAATCTAATCTTGTGGATCCAGTGTACGAAAAACAACGAGGGGCGGAGGACTAATCTACCGGCAGTAGGGTAGATTGCCATTTAAAAAATATCGTAAAATATTTCTTTCTGCAGATTAATAATTGATTAAAGTTCTAGGTGGGTATAATGTGTTTTAAAATAAAATTATATTATATACTTTATTACTGTACATTTTAAATTAATTTATCAATGGCTTCGGATATTTGATGAGAGTTTCGCTCTATAAACTGAAGTTTCACCTGTAAATTCTCCAGTGTTTCTTCGACAGGTAAGTCGTTAATGTATTTAACCAAACCTGTCTGATATTGATTAAATCTATTGTATTCCTCCTGGGTTATGCTTAAAAATGAAAGCACATCTATGAGATAATCTGCGCCGATCTCAAGCGGTTGGAAACTAAACAAGTAAAATTAAAAATTAGTATTGCTAGTAATTTCATAATTGAAAAGTTCTTACTGTAGGTAGACTAAATCCGCATTGGTTAAAACAAATTTCCGTGTCGACTCAAAGCCCATTTGATTTGAGACCAGACCAACAAAAGCATAATATAATTTATCCATTTTAAAAGGTTTCTTTGGATCAAAAATTTGCTCCAGATAGCCCTGCAACAGGTTCTCATCCCTCGAACATCCAAGGGCTTTTAAAAATCTCAATTGGGTAACTTCCTGTGTCGAGTTTTGGTATCTACTCCACATAAATACCCAATCCTCGTCATTGCCGTGCTCTATCGCAGTGCAGTAAAAAATGTCTCGAAGATTTTTGGGCACAGGATTAAAGTCATCTGCGAATGGATAAGACCGCCAGCTTCGGTAGGCATCTAACGCCTTTTCAATACAATCTTCAATGCCACTATAGCAGGCCCACTTTAATGTTATTAAAAGCAGCATAAGCTTATCGGGATTAGGATTACGGCCAACCGTTGTATTTAAACTCTCGTAAATCGGGGTGACTAATTTGTTTATAAAGCTCTGTGGATAATATTTGTAAAGTTACAGACTTCATAAAATTAAAAAAAAACTTACCTTGAATTTTGTAACGTATGGTGTAAGATGAATAAATTCTTTTATTTTTTCTAAGCTTTCATCGGCAGCCTTCCACGGCAAATACTCCCGCTCCCTTTTCAGATATTCCACCAAGCCTAAGGCCGTCTCGTAGTCTCGTTCTCCAATCCAAGCCAAATATAAGACGTCATTGATGAGCTGGGCTCGGTTCATTATGTGAAAACTCTCGAAATCTCCTGTTTTCAAAGTTTTGATAAGCAGGTTCCAGTTTTGCGTGTCGTAGTTGATGATGCAGAGCGTTGAAAACTGGTTGTTGAAGATGACCCACTCATCTGGTCCAGGAAGATCCTTGACTGTTTTGGGCGGACTTCTACCATTTTCATCACACTCCAGCCACACTTTGGGAGATGTGTTGTTAAAGTCCTTGTCTTCTTGCGTGGTGTAACTAAGTGGCACCCACCAGCATCCTTTCCTTTTAAGGTCAGAGTACATTGTACTTAAAACAAATCTTTCCTGACTAAGATTTGCTGTTCTGGTGACATAGTCACGTGTAATGTTTATAACAGGAAATCTAAATAATAAATGTTTTAATGAATATGGAGAAAACAATCGATTGTATGAAATTTTACCCTTTTTGGAGTATCCACGAGTCCATTATGGTTTTTACTTCATAGTTCGTGGGCATCACGCCAATCTTGTGAGCTGCTTGAGTGAACATCTCCCATAAATTGTCGGATTCAGCGTTTTTGTAAGCATACATATTAAGATATGTTTTCAGGCCGTATGTGAACGATTCCTCGCCCAAAAACGAATGCATTATTCGGAGCACAGCCGATCCTTTGCAGTACGTGATCTGATCGAAATGTGTTTCTATTTCTGCCACATCCTCTATAGACGTCGAGATGGGATGACTCGATTCCAAAGAATCATATTTAAAGATCAACAACAAGTTAGTTAGTTGCATCATATCCTTGTAATGCCATTCGGGATAGATGTAGTCCACGCCCAGGGTGCCCACAAAAGTAGCGAATCCTTCGTTGAGCCACAGATCCGTCCACCAATTCATGGTGACAAGATTTCCGAACCACTGGTGGGCCAGTTCATGAGCTATTGAATTCGCCACCCGCCACTCACTCAGCGCCGATTCTTCAAAAGAGTAAAGCAGGTTGTGTTCTTTATAGACCACCAATCCCCAGTTCTCCATAGCAGCATCTTCAAAATCAGGCACCGCGATTTGATCGATTTTAGTTAGCGGAAACTTTATTTCATATAACTCTTCGAAGAATCTGAGCACTTTGGGGCCAAATTTCGCAGCAAAACGACATTGACGAATGGCATTGTACCTGGCCCAGGTTCGAAATACGGGTCCATTTTCCACAGTGGAGGTTATATGTGCAAAATCATTTACAGAGTAGGCCACCAAGTAGGTGGACATCATCAATGACTCCTCAAACTCACGCCAAATGTAATCCGGAAGAGTTTCACTGCAAACAAGACAGAAGTTTATAAGGCTTCAAATACCTGTAGGATTGTCTTACTGGGGCCTAGTTTCCTTTACTGGCATGTTACTTAATCCCGTGTAATTTTTGTGGTACCCCAAAGTTATAACGAAAGATGCCTTTAATGCTGGCTCGTCGAAACAAGGAAAAGCCCTACGCGCTGAAGTCGGTTCGAATTGAGTAATGGAAATCCATCTGAAAATATATTGTCGATAAATCATCTTGGATCCCTGTATCTATTCACTATTGACCTTGATTGGTTATCTTTGGGGTGCATGTAAGATATGCGGTAATAGCCACGAAGCTTAGTACTTAATTTTGCAGAAAAGGCTAGGCTTAGTTCGTAAATATTACCAGCAATCAGTTCTTGGCAAGTGTTGAGGATATAGTAGCCGTGTTTGGCATTCACGGCCGTGGAGTTGATACAGTTTTCACCTTTCTGTCCATTAATTTGGTGTAGAGTGGTCCGTGACTCGTCGATGTCGAGAGACTCTGAGTGAAGTGTTATATTTTTGGTATTCTCCAAAACCTCGATTATGATTTTGACGGTTCCCTCAAAATGGAGATCTTCTGGATTGTCGAGATGAGTCAAAATGCTGAGATGGTATTTCTGAGGCCGTAAGGCCGTTGGCAAACGATAGAAATCATAACCAGAATCCGAAGTGGCCAAGCTCTGGGCAAAAGCGGCCACAAAAAATAAAATCCACTTCATAACACAATAAATATTAATCAAAGAATAATTATTTTAAAGAAGTAATTAAAAGAGTTTTTTTAAAACAACTTAAAGGAATCACGTTATTTTATTTTATATGTTACAAAATATTTAAGCCGGGAACTTTGCGAGAATTCAAAGTGATCAGCTTGAGGGTTCCCGCAAGTCTAAACGTTTGTAAGCCTGATGCTTTGCTTTGAAACTTATAAAATATAACTCTGACAAAATGCTGATTAAAGCCTGACCTCTAAATACATAATCGACCAATTAGAGATTAGGTGTTGTCTCATTAGAAAGCATTACACTTTCATTGAAGAAATATATTCTATCAAGTCAAAACCTGGGAATACATCATGATAATCCTGCATTACATGCAATTATTTATGTTCAAGGAAAATGAATAAATTGCTTTTATTTTAAAATATATTATAAAAGCTAGGGTTAACTTAATCAAAAGTTACTTAACTTGGCATGGGCTCGTCAGTAATCAGTAATGTTATTGACACTTCTAGGTAATAGAATGATTATTAAATTCAGGGAAAAGGTTTGCATCTGATTATAGAAAAACATGTGTCTTTTATTTGCTTTTTCTTAAAGTATTAAATTTTATATTTTAAATATGAGTGTTTAAAAGTGGACTTTTTAGTTTGGTCGTTTTTATTATGGTACCATCATAAACTTGTCAACTTGATGTGAATGACTGAAAGCACCGGGTAATCAACAACAAAAGTTTTTCACACGTGCTGTTTGGGCCCTAATCCGATAATCATTGCTAGGCCATAAACTTCGACTAAAGTTAGCTATAGTTTATGGCCAACATAGGTTAATTCGACCTAATCACTGATAAAGTAATCTCTGGGAAACAAAGTTCCCTGATTAAAAATAATAATAGATTAACTCCGATAGGGATAAGCGCATACTTCTATTTGCCACTTGAGAGTGGTCACATTCAGAATGGAATCCATTCGAATTATATAACTTAGGGCTACTGTAATAAGCGAGCACTAGAAGCTAAGGCGCATGGCCAGGACAACAGCCAGCAGGGAGCTGATGCTAATCAGGCTAAGGGTAGCGGATCCGCCACCACCGTCTCCATTATCTCCAGGAGTGGTTCCAGGACTGCTTCCTCCGTCTCCTGGAGTTGTGTCACCACCATCTCCGGGTGTTGTGTTTCCCTCATTGTCCAGCTGCGTGAAGGATAAAGAATTAGCTTATTTTTCGCAATCAATATATGATCTGACTTACAGCAGCATAAAGTTTGGCGCGAAGCTCCTCGCATCGTCCTGTTTGAGTGTTAACGGTCACAGCAGCACGGCACAGGGATCCAGACAGGCAGGTACGATCGCAGCCACCTTGCAGGTAGGGATCTCCCTGGGTCACTCGGAAACGCCAGTACTATGGGTAAAGTGGTCTTTAATATCAAATTTAAATCTTATCTTATCTGGAAACGTGGTATTTTGAATAAATAGAGGGCAATAAAATGATATTACCGCACATTTTGATTCTCAAAATGATAATGTTTAAGAAATTCATAATGATGTTATTTTTTTTATAAAACCTCTCGAATGTTGTTTCCAGTTAAACCTACCTTCCTCATCAATTCCGGGTTAGAAGCTAGTTCGTCCAGCAGCTTATCAATGCCCGCAGGACTCGTGTCCTCGGTGAACTCTTTCATGAATTGGTATTCCTCGAACCACTCGGGTTGCTCATCGGGAGTCAGATTGGCCTCCGTGAGATTGTAGATCCACGTTCGGTGATTGGTTACCACAAACGATGTTGGATTCACATCGTAGACTCTGTAGTTGGGGTTCTTGTTCGAGAAAGTGGTCACAGCCCCTCCGTTCCAGGCCACAGCCGTGGCATGACCTTCGTCAGAGTAGTAGACAAAGATTTCGTCCTTGTGGGAGTGACCGGTGAAGATTCCACTGATGGTGGAACTGAAGCGGGTGATGCATCGGTTGAACTCGCGAGCCCACACGGACCAGCAGGTTCCATCTCCGGAAGGAATGTGGGTAAGCACATGAACATATTCTCCGGCCTTCTCGGCGGCGAGAAGGGTGTCGTGGAACCACTGAAGCTGGGGAATCTTGTCGGTGCCACTGTGATATAGCCAGAAGTTATCCGTGTAACAATCATTGCTGTTCAGGGCAATGATGCGGAATCCCTTCTTGGGTGAAACGGTGTAGTAACCTCCCTTCAGTATAGTTTCCTTGGTCTCCTCTGGCAGCCACTTGGACCAGTCGTTGTACAAATGCTCGTACAGCCACTTAGTGCTGATCTCATCAGGGACCCCTTCGGGACTGAAGCTGCATTTTAAAATAAAATTAGTAAAGTAAATTCTATTTATAAATAATTCTTTGAAGATACTCACAGGTTGAGAGGATGCGGCTCGTGGTTTCCAATGCAGGGATAGACAGGTACATCACCGAAAGCCTCATTGAGACGTTGGCTCACCTTAGTTAGCACAGCAGTGTTCTTCTCCACCGAAGTGGCCCACACCATATGATCAACAATGTCACCAGTCTGGTAGACGTAATCGCATTTGTGGTTGGCTACTGCGTTGTCCAAAGCAGACTCAAAAGAGTGCCAGGGAAGATCACAGTCCCGGTAGTCGCCCCAGTATCCAGCAGCGTCGCTGGTGCCTTCCACAGTATCCTTGTTTCTCTGGCAGCACATGGGCTCGGCACAGGATGCCAGACTACCGGGTTCGTACAAGGGATCGTGGTGGATGTCGGTAAACTGGCAGATCTTGAGATCCGATTCACTGTAGCGATCGGTGTCTGCCTTGGAACTGGTCAAAGTTGGCACAGAATTGTCCACTGTAAGAGTCCAGTTGTAGTCCTGGTTGGTTCCAGTGTTGCAGAAACTGAATTCCATGAAAAGCGAACAGAAGCTCTGGGAGTCACTCTCGGAGTTACGCATAATGTACTCCACTGAGGGCAGGTTGGAGTCAATCAGACCTTCGCAAACCTCGTCGGTCTGAAGGTTCAATCTCCGGCAGAAGTCCATGGCGAAATCCTTCATCAGAACGGAGCTGCCTTCCCCATGGAGCTCGCCCTCCTCTTCGCGAATTGTGCGGATGAAGACTCTCATCACGGAGCGGCATGCTACGCACACAAAGAAGCTGTCTCTTGGCTCCAGATCGGGCATATTCCGGGTGAAAATATCCTTCTGGCTGTGAGACTTGGCCAGTTGTTGGGTTAGTTTCTTGAATGCTGCCGTCTCAACTCCGGTTTTCAAATAGGTCACGTACTCCTTGGCGAGGCGCTCCGCTATGTCATCAGCAATAGCGGATAATACTTTATCGTCCACTTCAAAATCAACCGGTACTCCAGGCAAATTTACTGCGGAGGCCATTAAAAGGCCGGAGGTCAGGGCGACCGCCAAGAAAAGTACGATTCCATTCATGGTTCGCACTGAAACTGAAGGCGAACTTTCACAGGTGGGGACTCTTATAGCCTTCCCTTATCTGACCACCAGCTGGCCAGTCCATTGAGGAGCCGGAAAACCCAATTTTAGATTAGCTTAATCTTGTGGAATACATTGGGGTTCCTTTATTTTCGGCTCATGAAGGAGGTAGAGGTCTAATCTCCCTACTTAGTGGGGCAGATTGCATTTTCTAAATAACAGATCGTAAATGCTTAGATTCCGCCAATTCATCGCCGTTTGATATAGTTAAATAATTTGTCCATTTCTGCCACATGTTTTAAGGGTGTCCGAATAATCAATCTTTTAATTTAAAATAGTGTTTTAGATTTTAGACCGTTGGAATCCTAAACCGTGATTAAACACAAGCTAAATAGATAGATGATACATAGATAGATAGATGATTTTGTTACAAAAATTACATTTATTGCTGTAAACATATACCATAAACACGGTGAATGTTTTTTTACATATTTTTAAGCTATAGATTTTTTAAAAATCTCGTTATAAATATGGTGCGTGTCCAGGCTTATCATTTATTCGCACCAAGCAATCGTTTACATCGTTTTCCAACACATCCAATGCTCCCAACTTAGTGTGGCCAGAAGGTGCTGCCAAACGGTTCCACTTCCTCGTCTTAATCGCTCATTCTCAAATGGTTAATCACAAAGAGAATTTATAATTTTCCCTATGATTGTGGCGTGCCAGTGGACATCAACGAAAGGCTGTGACCAGGAGCAGGCGGTAGAGCAGCAAGGGATTACCCAAGAGGATTAGCACCGGACTCAACAGCTGGAACAACCACAAAAGCAAAACAGCCCTGAGACAGTGACGCCATTTCTGTGTGCGAATAACGAGCAGGTGGGGCACAAAAAGATACGAGACAGATAAAAAGAGGCAAACACACAGGGGAAGGAGGCGGAGCAGCAGCGAGAGTAAGGATGAGCAGCCTGATCAACTTTCTGAACCCAAAACTGAAGCCATCGGTGGAAAGTGACGCAGTTTGCGAGGACGGATACACGGCAGCGAACCTAATAGCAGATGATGCTGAGCAGCTGGAGCGTGGATTCATGTGCTTTGCCGTTTGCAAGCCCCCAGTGGAAGTCGTCTTCGATTTTCCCAAGGCGGTGGACATGAAAGTGATTAAATTGTGGCCCTCCTGCGGAGCTCTCCGATCCACGGCCTTTGAGCTCCACGGACGACACGATGGAATCTGGGAGCGAGTGGCTTTTGTTCGCGACTTAGGAGTAGGGGTGGACTCTGTAACCTTTTGCTACCAGAGCGATTATAATTCGCGTAGCAGCTCCAACTCGGCAACAGCGTCCGGGCAACCGCAAAGCGAAAAGGTATTCTTCTTTAAATCGGCCCACAAGATTCTGTCTAGCACCAACAGTGTCAAAGTGGTAATCCGTGCCACAGAACGGTGTCCTCCCGTGCTGCGTAAGGTGCAGATGTGGGGATTGCCAGCCCGATCGCTCGATAAAGCCGATCGAGAACTAGTCAAGACCATTTGGAGCGAAATCAGTGATCCCTATGGACAAAGGGATGCAGTGCAGGCCAACCAAGGACAGCGTTCGCCTCCCAGGCATGTGCCCGAGCTTAGGGAGCTCTCCACACTTACTATACCCGAGGAGTTTCTTGACTCAATCACCTGGGAACTTATGGTATGGTCATAACTCGCAAAGAATAGGAAACTTAAATTGCTAATCCTTATTCTTATTGCAGATTTTCCCCACAGTTTTGCCCTCGGGAAAAGTTGTTGACCAATCTACTATAGACAAACACTCCGAGGAGGAGGCCAAATGGGGTCGCCAGCCTTCAGATCCCTTTACCGGCCTGGAGTATACTGCGCAGCGAAAGGCTATTCTCAACTTGGCTCTAAAAGCGCGCATTGAAAAATTTCTCATGGAGCACTCAGAGCACTTCAAAGCGGTACCCCGATCCCTAGGGTCCTCGCGTCTTCGCCGCCGCCATGCCTCGCAGTTTGCAAGCAGCACATGCCTCCCTGGACAGATTAGCCCAGCGGCTGGGACCTACTCGGCGCTGAGCAATGCCTATAAACAGCAGCAAAGAAAGAGCAGGGCCACTGCCACGGCTACCTCTTCCACTGCCGGATTTGGAGGACATTCGCCTCCGGCCGCCAAGCGGGCCAGACATAGCCATCACGGCACTGCCTGTGCAACGGTGACAGCCAGTAGCGCATCTACCTCGACCACAACCTCCACTTCAGCAACATCTTCCTCCACCATTGACCAAGCCATCCAGCAAGCACTGCAGAAGATCACGCGTTTCAGCCAAGTGGGAACAGTGACCAATTCTACCCCTGCCTGCTGCATCAACTGTCGCAGTGGCCAGTTCAGCTACGAAATCCGAACCTGCCGTCATCTGGTTTGCAGGGAGTGCTTGGTGCTGCTTTCCCAGACGCAGGTGTGTGTCTGCAAGGCATCCTTCCGCGGAGCGGACGTCGAGCGGTATCACAAGCTGGACCCTTAAGAGCTTCCCCTCAAGAATTTTTCTCGATCGACACATCGCCGATCGTTGCAATAAGTTTGTTTCTCCCATATACCCAAAATTGTTCAGTCAATCGCTTTAGCCCCTAGGCCTCACTCTAAACGATATATATATAGTTTTAGTCATATCAGATCTGGAGTCGGAGTTGGAGAGAAGCCAAATGTGTACACACGAATCGGTTCTCGGTTCGACAGTATGTATCAGTATCAGGTCACGTTTAGTCATAGAGATCAGATTACAGATTTAACAGATTAGCATATAGAGAGCGCATAGTTTTTGTAGACACCTTTATACAGTCCGAAAAGACAGGATCGTTCAGCGCAAGTTTATATATTCATACCAACTATAATTAGAATAAATAATGAAACGTACTGTAAGTTGTGTCCTTTGAGATCGTACATTAAAGATTTTTGTCTGATATAGTTTCAAATTTAGTTCTTCCTTAAAAAAATTAAATCTCAAAACGAATGTTTTTAACGGTAGTTTTCTTTAAATTTGTTACTTGTGTTAACATTTTAGTTACATTTTTTATGTAAATTCTCATTTTAGTTGCAAACGGTTAACTTTTTGTATTGTTTTTCATTCATTAAAGATTTTAGTTGGGGAAAAAACTAATTGTTTTCAAGACTTTATTTTTAAATGAATTTTGTAACGATTCATGTCTGGACAAAAAAGTCGACATATACTTTAATCCTTGTATTTCAAACTTTATATTTATTAAAGTATTTCTTTTAGAGCTAATAAAAAATATTTTTCAAATAAAATGATCCTATAGTTTCAATTTTATGTATTAAACTACTAATTTTAAGATATTGCTTAACATTTTTATTTTAAATAGCTTAAATCTTGAAAGCTCCCTCTATTGTGAGTTTGGCTCAAAGCACGTATTCCACTTTGCATCTGGTCACACTACTGCCTCCGCTAAATTGTAAACATTTCAAAACCCGACTGAAATCATTTTTTATGGATTTAAAATGTCAAATGAATCTATTTCTACACCGCAATCGGGACGGAGACCCCGTCTTGGATTGGTCCGCCGAGCTTGTCTCTCTACACCGCTTTTAAAACTTCAAAAAGCGGAAACCGATACAAAAACACCTTCTGGAATTGTTCAAAATGCTACACCAAAGACTTTCCCATTGTCTATGAGCGCCCGTCGCGTTGGATTATCAAAACATAGAACAGAGTTAAGCAAGAAGAGGTTGGAGTTTGCTGTAATGCATGATTTAACGGAACAGGAGGGATCAGTTTCCGAGGGAAAAGAAAAGGCTTGTCCAAAAAGTGAGGAAAAGAAACCAGACAGGAAGAAAAGGAAGGTCAGGGAAGACACTAAAAAAGCAAAGGACGAAGAAAAAGAGGAGGCTGAGAAGGAGCAGATACCTTCTAAGACCTTGTCAGAAGATGTACCGAAAAGCAGTAAAATAGTAGAACTCCAAGGAGACATTGAAATCTGGCGTAAGGGATTCATTGCCTCAGTGGAGGATCTTCAGTCGATGGTGGACCCTAAACCCACAAAAAGTGATTTGATGGTTCAACTTGGTATTCCCCTTGAAATGCTGCGCTACTTGGAGGAAGAATAATCACCGATCACTTAAAAACTGCAACTTTAAGAAACTGTTAAATATAATTCCAATTAAAATAACACCGAAAACTCATTGTAATCTAGTACTTGTGTGGTCGGACTGGTCTCTCCGGGTCGAAGAGCTTGGGGTCCTGCAAGAAGTCAAGATCCTTGTGATAGCCAGGCATCAGGAGGCACTGCTGGGCTCGAAGAATCGCTTGCTCCACCTGCTCCTGCTTGTTCTTGCATAATCCAGTTATGTGCCGGCCGTAAATGCGACCCGTATATGGCGATTGGAATTGAGACAGCAGTTTTACATTTTTGTAGTGCGGGGCAATGTTGTGCTTGCACAAAATACACTTTTGAGGGTCCTTTTCATAAGGATTCGTAATGTCAATTGGTAAATCCGAATCTGGCTGTTGGGCGGATTCCGAATAAAAGCGAGTTGCAGCTGCTAATGGTCCTTTGCCAACAATATTGGCTACCGTAGCTAAATAGTAAATGTTCTTCAATGTGTTGCTTCTTTAATAATATTTTATAATCACCTTTCTGAGCTATTAATTTTCCAATTTTCAGCATTTTCCTTGAAATTATTAAAAAACAAGTGACTGTATTAGTGTTGATAAATACAGCTGTTTAACATGTGTGAGAGAATGGCCTAAAAAAAAGTGTTGGAAAAATGTTCGATGTTCTAAATTAAATCAGCTGATTTTAAACACACGTTTTTGATTGTTTACAACAGAAATCTGAAATAATGAAGCCGCAAGGAAAGAATTTTCAAGGAAGAAATAACAGACCTGCAAATAGAGGTCCAGGAAAAGTGGCTTACAACCAGAAGCCCAATTTCAAAAGCAAAAATAGGTCGAAGCCAAAAGAAGTAAGCTCCTCTATACAAATTATGGTACTCAGCATCGAAACTGTATTTAAATATAAATTTCTTTCATAGGATAAACCCAATAAACACGAAATCCGGAAAATGCAACGACAGCAGAAGGCTGCCCAAGCTGCAGCGGAAAGAGAGAAAATAAAAGCAGAAAAGGACGCCAAAATAAAGATTTATAAACAGCATCGTCTGGAACGTACCAAGGCAATCAGCAAAAAAACCCAAAGGGGTCAACCACTGATGAAAGATCGCATGCAGCTCCTTTTAAAGCAGATCGAGGAGATGAAGCGCCGCTGAATAAGAACTCTATTACCTTACGGCTAAGGACTACAATTTCTAGAATAGTATAGATGAATAAGCCAGAATTATATAAGAGACCGTTTAAATCAAACTTGTATGTGGTTTTCAAAATAAATTGAAAACATTTAAAAAAAAAGAATTAAGAAGCATTCAAGACTGACAAAGACTAATTTTAAAATTTTTTTCTATGCAATGTGCCAAATAGCTATCGTGAGATTTTCTATTCAGCGATGCTCCCTTCTTAACGTTTCCGATCACGCTCCCCGCACAATTAAATTTAATGCAACCTGTAATAAATTCGCTTGTCGCGAGCTTCCGGCCGTGCGAATCAACCCTTTTACTATGCAAATTCACCCGGCAAATTGCCTATTGCCTTATCATCCTGCACTCTGCATCCTGCAGCCCCGGTCCTGTACCTGTACGAGTCACCCTTCCAGGTCCTCTGATTCCCTCGCGATTTGATGAACAAAGCAATTTGCTGGCTGGCGCGCGATTCAATTTTCGCCAAAATTTTATACATAACAGTAAACTTTTATGCGCATTCCGCTGGCATAACATCCGCTTCCGATTTTTTTTTTTGCACAAAAGAGGGTTAACATATTCCCACCTCCAACATCCATAGCCCTTCAGAATCGAAATGACAATCAGCATGCGGTCTCATATCCGCCGAGTGGTAGCCAAGTAAACAAAGCCGGGAGGAAAACTTTCACTCCGGCAAGATATTGCGAAACTATTGCCACCCCCCTCAAACCTTAACCCTATGTGTGCGAAGGAACCCGTTGACACAAATCGCACTAAATCAAAAATTATACTTTGCACAAATAAAACGAGGACCCAGGATTCGCAGGAAGTCGCTACACCCTGTGGCCATAAATCTCATATAGTCAAATATTGAATTACGCCGGAAGAGCCGACCGAGTCGGGGGGAAAAGGGTTCGCTTCTCAGTCCGTTGCAATTCTCAGATCCAATTTAGTGGGTCAAAAGGATGTGCCAGAGAATGCTCACCCTCCCCCCTCGGTGACATCGCTTTGTTCTGTTTATTTAATAAAAATTTGAAGTTATGAGTGCTCGAGGGTCGCTTTATGTGCCGATAATGAATAGTTATGGCCGCTGTTCAAGGGGCATTCGATCCGAAGGTTAATGCTTTGTTTGGGTCGTTTATAATGCAATTTATGCATGTTTATATTTCCAATAGTGTGATGGGGTAACAATAGGCTTCAGTTTTGGGTTTTCTGTAGGAATTGGGATTTTGCTTTTCGTTTCATTGGTAAACTCCAAGCTGATAAGAATCCTCTTGCCTTGAAGAACATAGACTTTTTAGGTGCCATTCCAATTCTAAAACGGAATACCTTAAATGATTTGTAGATGGATTCTTCATAAATCTGCATCCAAACCTGACAACAAAATATTTTTCAGATTTTTTCCAAAATTTTCTAGGGAGTCCCCCTAAAAATCCTTAAAAAAGCAGAAAACGCAAATATGGCCCACAGAGAAGCTCATATCTTTTTCGATATTTATCATATTTTGAAGCGGAATACCTTAAATGATTTGTAGATGGATTCTTCATAAATCTGCATCAAAACCTGGGAACAACATATTTTTCAGATTTTTTCCAAAATTTTCTAGGGGGTCCCCTTAAAAATCCTTCAAAATGCAGAAAACGCCAATATGGCCTACAGAGAAGTCCATATCTTTTTCGATATTTATCCGATTTTGAAGCGGAATACCTTAAATGATTTGTAGATGGATTCTTCATAAATCTGCATCCAAACCTGACAACAAAATATTTTTCAGATTTTTTCCAAAATTTTCTAGGGAGTCCCCTTAAAAATCCTTAAAAAAGCAGAAAACGCCAATATGGCCCACAGAGAAGCTCATATATTTTTCGATATTTATCCGATTCTGAAGTGGAATACCTTAAATTATTTGTAAATGAATTCTTCATAAATCTGCGTCAAAACCTGGGAACAAAATATTTTTCAGATTTTTTCCAAAATTTTGTAGGGGGTCCCCTTAAAAATCCTTAAAAATGCAGAAAACGCCAAAATGGCCCACAGAGAAGCCCATATCTTTTTCGATATTTATCCGATTCTGAAGTGGAATACCTTAAACGATTTGTAGATGGATTCTTCATAAATCTGCATCAAAACCTAAGAACAAAATATTTTTTTGATTTTTTCCAAAATTTTTTAGGGGTCTCCTTAAATATCCTTCAAAATGCAAAAAACGCCAATATGGCCCACCGAGAAGCCCATATCTTTTCCGATATTTATCCGATTCTAAAACGGAATACCTTAAACGATTTGTAGATGAATTCTTCATAAATCTGCATCAATACCTGGAAACAAAATATTTTTCAGATTTTTTCCAAAATTTTGTAGGGGGTCCCCTTAAAAATCCTTCAAAATGCAGAAAACGCCAATATGACCCACAGAGAAGCCCATATCTTTTTCGATATTTATCCGATTCTAAAAAGTGGGTCCCCTTAAAAATCCTAAAAAAATTTCTTTAAAAAACCCCAAAAATGCAGAAAAAGCCAATATGGCCCTCAGAGAAGCCCATATCTCCATAATCCAATTCATACCTTTAATGATTTGTATGATGCAGAAAAAAAAAGGTATGTTATATGTATGAACTTAATTAAGTTCTACATAAAAGCAAAACCAATGCTACCTTGGATTTTCCCATTTTCATAATAAATAAATGGTAAATTCCAGGCTGATAAGACCCCAATTACGTTGATTTCAGGAGGTTGAAACCTATTTAAGAGCAAACTCCAGCTTTAGCATCAGTCGTATTTGTAATCTCCGGCGAAGACAATACTGAAATCATATTCAAAATGAAATACTTCAGTTTTTACTGGCTACTCCTTGTCGCATTGCTGTTCATTGGAATGGATAAAGTTGAGGCCAAGCCCAAACCTGGATTTAAGTTTCCAGGAATGCCTAACCTAAACCTGAATGTTCACCATAATAGTAAGTTTTAACAGTAAAATAACAATGGTAATAAGAAAACAAACAGTATTTGTTTAAATTTTCAGATATACATATTGGCTAGAGCTGCATTTTTGAGCTCTATATATTTTTTGTGTTCATTTTTATATTTAATCTAAGAAAAATAAATAAATAAAAATATACAGAAATGAATAATCCTCTAGTCAAATTCGTTGGATTTTTCCCACCGCTCTAGGGGATTCACTTTTCATTTCATTGATGATCTCTCTCGCTTGGTAAATCCAAGCTGATAACAACTTGAAATCTGTTCTTCCCGCAGCTGGCATTCTCTTGTGTGTTTCGGTTTTTTTCAGACACCTTAAAAATATTTATTTACGAGCAAGTACCGCTCAAGCTTCAGTCTGAATTAAGCTCTCGGCTAAAAAACAATAGTGTCATATTCAATATGAAATACTTTAGAGTTTATTGGCTTTTGATTGTTTTGATGCTTTTTATCAGCTCAGAAGATGTTCTGGCGGCACCCAAGCGAAAATCTAAACCGAAATTTCAATTTCCGAAAATCAACATAAATATTCATCATAATAGTAAGTTTTATTTAAATAAATATATAGTTAATCCATATATAACACGTGAATAAATTTCAATTGCAGATATTCATATTGGATAGCAGCAGAATATTAAGTCATTTAGGTTTAAAATGAATTTTTTTCTCAATATTTGCTAAGAGGTTTAAAAAATAATGTCATAATATACCTACATAATATTTATTCAAAGAAGCTTAAAAAAAGATGTAGTGTCTATTTACTTTATTTATTTTTTGTGATAAGAGTTCTAGGGAAGACTTTATACTTAGCCATGTTTGCCTGATAATACTCTCAAGTAAAAGTATATTATTATATCACTTTATAAATATGTGATAAATATGTGGTTCAATGATAAGAAAGTGTCTTCTTACAGTTTGTGAAACTTATCTGTGATTGCCAAATTTATTGCAGAGGCTTAATACTTGTGAGTTCAGTATGATATTTAGGTGTATATTGGAATCTCTGCCAAGCTCTTTGTCCAAGAATGTGCCAACATATTTCTCGATTACAGTATTCACAACATAATAGCCCAAATAAGTAGCAACCCTATCCTATAAGCCAGCTTCCCCCTTGACTTGATATGCAAAACTTTTGCATAACTCACTGGCTTTCCAATCTTGTTAACGATTCGGTATGCTAATTAAATTCCTGCCAATGCCGGCAAGAAAACAAGTGCCAAATGTTGGCCCAAAGACTCCGGGGGGAAATTTCACTTTCCTTGGGAAGAGATAGGAAAAAATCTGGTTGGAAATTAACACCCAACGAAAGAGATTCGCTTTCGCCCAACCGTAAAATGCTGCTCCAACAATTGGGACTTTTCGGTCCTCTACCAAAAGGAGCAACTTTTGGCCGTGAATTTATGGCCTGTTGTGGAGTGGGCTGGTAGACGGGGATGCAGTTGCTCTTATCTGGCTAAAATATTAACGGTTTAGGCTTAATTACAAATGGCGACGTTGCCGGCTTCCAAATTAACTGCTTGGCAAAGAAAAACTCGACCCCGAAGGAGTGGAGTTTGGGCAAAGTGGGTGGATGGGCTATGTGGGGAATGGTACTACGACCATTAGGGTAATTATTTACAACAATTTCAAATTTTACACATGAACAAGCCGAAGCACAATAAAATGGCGCCACAAAATGTTTTGCATGCACTTTCCATGTTCGGTTCAGTTTGGTTCGGTTTTGGTTCTGTTTTTCAAGTGCGGCGGCTCATAAATTACAAAAGTGCGGGCTGTAAATCACAGGACTCCGCCTCCCATCACCCCTTTCGGAATCGCTTTGCTCTGGGCGGATTGTCCATGTAAATTTTGAAATTTTCAACAATTTGCAACACTTCTTTTTTTGGCGAACACGTGGCCAGAAGGGGCAGGAGGTAGTGCGAACGGGAACCCTTTGAGGGCTGCGCATAAATTTCAATTAAAATTGAAAAGCCATGAAAAGTAAAACCCCCGAGAGGACCCGAAATGATAACCATAAAAAGTCACCCAAAGTAGTGTGGGCGGTATGAAATTTTAATTGTGGACAGTAGCATCAGGTGCAGGCATGCATGAAAGTGGCCTCGCAGCGAAGAAGAGCGCCGGCAGTATTTCAATTAAAACTCGAAAATATTTCCAATAATTGCTCGAAAACAAGTGAAACTTTGTCAAGCACGCCCAAGGGGTTTCAATGGGTTAACTTTTATTCAAAAAATGTTGATACTGAAAGGTATTTCACACTTGAACGCGTTGAATAGTTAAGACTTATTTCTCTGGATACTTTTAAACCATTCAAAAGTATCTTTAAAAGTTTTTTTTTTAAGGAATCCGCTTTATTAATACTCTTGGGTCAGTAACTATTCAATGGCATATTTCACACTTCAGCAGGTCCAAGCGCATAAAAGGACAACCATCATTCCGCCGGTCCAGGATACTTCCGATACTCATCTGCAATCAGCTTTAGCCCAGCGACAAATGTCAAAACTATAAGCTGACACTAAACCATCGCGGCACTTCAGCAGCTAACGATAAACAGCGAGGGGCAAACATCAAACACAGACTCCACCCAACTAGACAAAGAGGGTTGCTGGTCACGGGACCTCCCCTTGCCTCGTATCCTGAAATTGCTCTTTAACTTGCAACAGCGAGCGGTTAACAAGCGACGCGTGCCGCTTCCTTTTTTCACACGCAGGCGGTCAAGTACAGTTGCCGCAAAAGGTTAAAGCTCGACGCAGGAGGACATAGGGGGCAACTGTACTAGTGTACTAGTGACATAACCTCACAATGAGCCATGACATAATTCACTTCCTGCCGCATCATCAGCAAGGGACATCCCCTATAACTCAGTTTAAAGTCGCATAACTCTCAAATTAAAGTGACCATGCGACAATTTTCAATTTCCACATTGTCCATAAATCAAATTGCGTTTACGATGAGCTAGCCGGAGGACATACCCGAGCGGGAGAAAGTGAATGGGGTGGGGTTGTAAACAGGACACGCACATGGGTGAGGGTTCACTCGCCATAGCCACTCGTACCTTTTGATGGGTTTATTGAAAACCTACGTTGATTTTGTTGTGGCTATACCCTCTCCGAGAGGAGTCATTTGTTTTCATATGTTTATTATAAAATAAATAAATCATAAATGTTTAAAAACTTCAATATAAATAACAATATAACGTCAAAACTCTTTGGCTTATGTACCTTTTTTAAGGGTATTTAATATTTCTAATATAGCCACTCCCAATATTGCCAAAGTCCTTCCCTTTATTTGCTTGTTTTGAACTTTTTTATTCCTTTTTTTTTTTGGGTGGTTTGGTGTTGACACACCAAAGATAAGGACATAGGAACGTCCTGTGCCATGTGTGACGTCTATGAGCATCTGCAATCCAATTTAATCAGAGTTTCTGGCAAATGGCCTGCTTTTTGGGGCAAAAACACAGCAAATAATCGCATTAGGGCCTGAGGAGAAACACCGGAGACAATAGAGAATTAGATGTGGCGTGGCATGTGTCAAAATTTTCGCATCGATGAAAGATCTAAGAGATAGATGCCCATGTGTTGGCCAATTTGAAAAATGATTAGCCAGGAAAACGGTGAGAGGTTTTTGAAATTCAATTTTTAAATTGGCCCTGATCAGGGAGTTTTTTTTTTCGCACCCCCTTGTAAGGTTTTGTAAAGAAGTTCCCCATCCAAAGACTGGGCCATAAATCTGAGAGAAGTCTTAACATGTCAGCGGCACTTTCCCCACAACAAGGTCCAACTTTATTCAAATTGTCCCCAGGAAGCAACAGGAAAAGTTGGACTTTCTTAATGTCTACAAATTCCTTTCTGCAAATCCAATACAAAGCCCACTGACTTTGATTTATCACAGCGGGGCGTGGTATTTTTAATTTACAAACCAGGGAGAAAATACTCCTTCCATAACTTAACCCTTTGAGACTGCCTGTCTGCATAATTATGTCCGTGTGGCCCACAAATTTATGGACCTGCCAACATCTTACTCGGTTAGGGCTCATCTTGGGCTCTTCCAGACTTTCACTTTGTCAAATGAGCTTTCTTTTAATTGGCTTTGGTCTAGGTTTCCTCTCGGTTGGGATTTGTTTAGTTTATGGCTTAAATAGTGGTCGAGTGGTCAGACTGGACTGTCTTCTGATTAATTTGTGGTGGAATTTTACAGAAATTAAACATGTTAGATGGTGTTTCTTTAAAGCCACAGTAATCCTATCCCTTCTGACCATTTATAAGCCAAGATGTCCAGAATATCAATAATAATATATTCTGTAAACTTTAGAGTCTAAAGAACTCCTTTGTGTCAAGTACCCCCACTTCAAAAATGGAAAACCACAAATGATGACTGCATCAAGTGAACATAATGGGCGGGCAGGGGGATGACAGCATCATGACAGTGCTCAGGAGCAATTCCTGTAAAATTCTATGACTTCGTAACTAATTAGCGCAGCCCATAAAAACAATGAAGGCACCGCCGCAACAGAGCCAGCGGAGAAAGCAACCCCCTTTCCTCCGGAAAAGCTGGTCGAGAAACACCCATCCTGCCTTCCTAATGAAGTTTGACGTGCTGATGTGCGGTGACGTTGACGAGGATTTCAGGAGCAGGATCGCGAAGGGGTCCTTGGTACGAGTCAACAAGTGAAAGTCAGCCGGCGGTAAAATTCAATGGTGATGGGACCCTGAACTGTGACGGAGGACTTTGTTAAGGGGCCATAAAATGCATTAAAATTAAAAACGTGTTTAAATGCTCAAGAATAACTCGAGCAATCTTTTTAATGAGCTCTTAATGAGGCGCCTGACCAAATCAAGAAATAAAAAAATAGAAAAATGGAACCAAATATAATTTGCGTCTCATTTGTTGTTGCGAGGTTTAAAAAATCGTAAATTATGAACAAATTTTTTAATGAAAAAAACTTCATTCCGGCATATGCTTTCGGTCTCCACCCTCGAATTTTTACCCCGATTGGGATCCGTATCTGTGTGTGACTTTTGTTGCTGCCCATAAATTATGTAAATTTTCATTCGAAATTCAAAATTAAAAAAAATATATATAGAGTGGTACAAAAAATACTGTCCCGCTGCTCTAATAAGGGTGAAAGGTCGCTAGCAGGCGTGTCCAGTAAACATCATAAAAGTGAGAAATATGCCTCTTATTTTGTATTTTGTAATTTGTTTTGTGTAATGTAGCGCCTTTTTGTTCTGAAATATGAGGAAAAAATTGCCACATTTACCCAAAAAGGCGGCAAGAGTGGGAAAATGCGATGCGGGGAAAATGGATTTTTTATTCGATTTTCCATCCCCATCGTGGGAATCATGCTTTTCCGGGGTTAACTTGCACTAAGCCCTAGACTTTTGGTTACTTAGTTCCCTTGGAGTTTAGACCTGGAGTACAAATTGGAAGAGACAGCCTGTAAGTTTTCAGATGCAAGACATTTAAGTAAAAGATGCATAGATACGCAGATACTTTTGGGTATAAATTAAGGAAGCCTTCACCAGTGGACTGGGAGAGACATATGCAGAGGCGTGACTGCAGATACTCAGGTGAAATTTATTAGCCCAAAAGTATCCAGCACGAAAGTGGAAATTACTTGACGACTGTTGTAAAAAGTCGACTGCAAGTTCTTTTGTGACTGGGTGTGCGCTTAATTTTTAATGCCGCGCCGTGAAATTTATTTGGCCGCCACAAAT